AAAAAAATTGAATCTCTGTGATGATGAACAGTTTGACAGGAAAGGCACGAGTGTCACGCATATATATACAACCATTCATTGAAATAATGACTGATTCATTGCAACCCCTTTGATCAGTTCTCACCCCTGTTGACAACACGGCAATTTTGCTCTTGATGAAAGCAAAGGGGTATCAAAAGAGGGTTGCTGAAAATCCTCAAGTCCATTAATTTCGGATCGACACGGTGATTTTTCCTATTGTTCAATACGTCAGAAACAATTAGATAACAAGGATCGTATATATGCGGCAAATATTTTTCCCTCGCGCGATTAAATTTCTTTTCCTGACAACCAAAAGGAGGAATAAAAATTTTTATTCTTGTTTCAGTATATGAATAAATTGATTCATTTTCATCCAAATTTTGTAATTTTAAACCTTAGTTTATAATTCTCTTTGAAAGGGACAGAAAATTTAGGGGATTTTTTTTTTTTTTTGCAGAACAGAAAAGTTTTGCATGAGAGGGGGATCGATAGCGTTTTCAGTATCGCGCGCAGAGTCGATGACTCGCATCAAGTTGAGAAGAGAGCGTCAAGCTTCGCGTAATTACACCAATCGATTCCCTTCATCGCCTTCGTGAGGCTGCAACAGAGACTAATCATGTGAAACTAATTTTGAACGGTGGGTCCTATAAATATTGATTTAATCATGGGTTTAACATGCGTCGCCAGACGAATCAACAGAGCAACGTTTCGAAAAGAATCGTTGCTGCTGTCTGCCGAGCTTTTACCTTGTACACGCCTTAGCCGTGCGGCTGCTGATATAGGGAGCCCCGTATTGATTTTGGTCTGCATTGGTGAAGCGGTTAAAAATGTTGAACGAAACGTGAGAGACATTGCCTTTGACAATTTCTATAGTCTCATGAATTCAAACAAATTCGCGTGTTTGAGCAAAAAATAAAAAAAAACAGAAAAAATTATCCATTTCATGGGTATATCACACAAGAGAGTGCGTTTTACTTTCACTCTCTATACTTGATGCGGTCTTTCTCTAACTTCCCTCTCGAGAGTGTTTTCACTTTTCTTCAAGAGAGAGAAAGAGAGAGACAGAGGGAGAGAGAGAGAGAGAGAGAGAGAGAGAGAGAGAGAGAGAGAGAGAAAATTGAGATACTTCAATCACAGTGATGAATCTACTTGAAACAAGTGCAATTTCGATCCGGTTTGAGTGAAATTTCACACCAATAAAAGTGGAACATTTCGCTTCAATTGATATGGACTTCTTAGTCTAGAGGAAAACTTCATTTCGCTGCTGAAGAGTGACAGGAGGAAAAATTATTACAATTTTCAAAACAAATTTCTTCGTTCACAGAAAATGTACCTCTAAAGGATTCCTTCTTTTTTATAAAAAAAAACGCATGCGGAGAAAAATCAAATCCGAAAAATTAATACCGACTATACTAAATATTTAGATTAATTCCTGTAGTTTGGGTCTGATTGCTAAACCACGGTTGCCACAAAAATTTAATTTCGTTTTTCTCTAATTTCCAGAAAAAATTTTAACTTTTTCCCTCAACAAAAAAGAATATTCTGATTCACTCTAAAAATGATTAGATGCTAAGAAAAATGTCCTAATACATTTATTTATAAATTTCTTTAAAAAAATTCGAAAAAAAATTATTAAAACTAAAATTAAAATTATTCGAAAACATCAACAACTTTTTTTTTAAATAAATATTTAATCATTATTATTTTTCTGTAGGAATTAAAATTCTTCAAAACATTCAAATTCAAACCAGTTTGAAATTCAACAACTTATATAAGAATATTATTACAAAACATGAAGAGGACGATTACTCCGAGTCGAAGACTCGGAGTAATCGTCCTCTTCATGTTTTGTAATTTAATTTAAATTATCATAAAATTTTTCAAAAAAAAAAGTGAATTATTTACAAAAATTCTAATAAAATCCTTCGCAAGAATTCAATTATTTTTACAAGTAATAAAATTTCTCAAAAAAATCCAATTATTTAAAAAAAAATATAATAAAATTCGTTGCAATAATTCAATTCTTTTTATAAATAATAATAAATCGATTATTCGGTAATGCATTTTTAAATAAATTTTTATTAGAAAATTCTAGAAGAATTCAATTATTTAAATTAAGAAATAAATAATTTATTGAATCATGGAATGTTTGTTAAAATTGAATTCTCAGTAAAGAATTTTTATAAACAAATTTTTAAATAATTGAATTCTTTTGACAAATTTTAATAAAATTTTTAAGAATAATTACATTTTTCGAGGAATTCGATTAAAGTTGTATTAATTGTATTTTTTTTAATTTTTGAACATAATTGAATTTCTGTGAAGAATTTTATTATTTATATAAATAATTAAATTATTGCAACGAATTTTATTCAAGTTTATAAAAATAATTGAATTTCGGTGAAGAATTTTATTACCTATTTATAAAAATAATTGAATTCTTGAAAATAACTTTTTGTTAAATTTTTTTAAATAATTGAATTCTAGTAACGAATTTTATAAAAATCTTTTTAAATAATTTATATTTTTCGAAAAATTATATGAAATTTTGTATTTTTAAATAATTGAATTTCTGTAAAAATTTTATTACTTATGAAAATAATTGAATTACTTCGAATAAATTTATTAAAAATTTTGTAAATAATTGAATTCCTTAAAAACTTTGCCAAAAATTTTATTAAAATTTTTAAAAATAATTGAATTTCAATGAAGAATTTTATTATTTATAAAGATATAATTGAAATTTTGACGAGAATTTTTTTTAAATTTTCGAACATTCAAATTCTGCGAAGAATTTTTATAACTTTTGAAAATAATTGAATTTCTGGAATCATTTGTAACTCCAAAATTCAATTATTTCTAAATATTTCCTCCTAAAGCTTTTAATATTTAATTATTATCTAAAATTTGAACTGAAATTATTAATTTTTAAACCAATTTTTATTAGAAAATTCTACGAGAATTCAATTATTTAAATACAAAAAAAAATAATTTATTCAATAACTGAATGTTTCTTAGAATTTAATTTTTACAAAGAATTTTATTAACAACTTTTGCAAATAATTAATTTCTGTTAAGGAATTTCATTTAAATTTGACTGAAATTTATCAAATTAAAGAATTTCGTATAACAATGTTTGAAAATAATTGAAAACTTTTTGAAGAATTTTATTCAAATTTTTTTAAATAATTGAATTCCTGGGAAGCATTTAAATAATAATTTATAAAAATAATTGAATGTTTACGTAGAATTGTATCAAACATGTTTTCAATAATTAAATTGTTTGATAAATTTTATGAAAATAGTAAATATTGAAAATCATTGAATTGCGAAAAAGTTTTGAAAATAATTGAAATTTTGCAAAGAATTTTATTTTAATTTTTGAAAATTATTGAATTCTAGGCGAAAAATTTTGCTTTTTATAAAGATAATTGAATTCTTGACGAGATATTCGTTCAAATTTCTAAAAACAATTGAATTTTTGTAAAGAATTTTGTTATTTATCAAGATAATTGCATTAAAACTTTTGAAAAAGTGAAATAATATTAAAAAATTCATTCTGGTCAGAAAAGAAATAGAAAAAAATTTTGAAGGTTTTTTATTAGAATTCGTGGTAGTTTCATAGTTTATGAGGCAAAGAAAAAAGAAAAAAGAATGAGTTGAACTTTACTAGGAGTGAAATTTAACTACGATGAAGCACATTTATCAAAATTTGAATGGGATCCTTTCGAAAGAAGATGTCATTATGGAAATACACTTTTTCAGAAAAAATATGGAGAGCAACTAATCATCAAAATCGTGAGAAAAGTCTTTCAAAGTTTTATCCTCAAAACTTTAAATTAGACGAAGTCCACTCCACTATGCAAAAAAGCAGAACTATTATTATAATTGGAATAGGAATTCACTCCCAAAAGGATGATATTAAAATCCAGATTGAAACTTTACCAGAAAGAAACAGATTTATCATAATTGGAATGGGAGTCCACTCCTAAGAAGATGTCACAAAAGGATAAGTTTACTTTTTCAGAAAAAATAGAGAGCAACTAATTATTTCTTGTCACGACAAGCATCTGAAATGATTTTGTTAGTGCAACAATCCCAAATTGTTGAGATTGGAAAACTTTCAAGTCCAAAATAAACCTAAAATTTAAACAAAGGTGCCAGAATAATTTTACTCAGTTCTTTAAGTCGTACATTTTCGGAATCAAAGCAGTGGAACCATAAAACCCTATAAGCGTTGAAATTTATTACTGGGAGTAGAATAGAAAAAGATTACTCCACACTATTCGCAAAGTTATATCCACACCAAAGAAGTACATTTCCTCTTATTGAAAACATATTACACTAAAAATATATTTGTAATACAAATAGGAAGCAGAGTAGTGTCTAATATTGTCTAGTAGTTTAAGCTTTGGACTGACTATCTGCTAAAAAGATAAAATAAGATAGAATCCTTTAGGATGTTGTTCAGCAACATCTTAGCAACAATTTCAATGATTTTCAGCTAATAAAAATTATTAGATTTAGAAAATAAAAATTTAAATGATCTTCTTCCCAAAATTTTGATTGTCTGTTATAGCGTACGGGTGGATCTCCTACTACTTAAAATTATAAATAAATTTTTCTATTCTTCGGGATATTGTTCAGCAACATCCCAGCAACAAATTAGGTGATTATCAGCTCATAAAATTATTAGAATTAAAAAAAATAAATAAATAAACTATTTTGTACGAAAGGAAAATTTTGTAGTCCCTTTATATGTTTAAATTAAAGAAATATATAAATTTTATTAACACACTAAAAAAAAAGTTTTACTTTCAGCCTATTTTTGAGGCTGAATTTAAGATGTAAACGGAGTCAGCCCCGTTAAACAAGGACAGACTTATGTGAAATACATGGGCTGAATTTAAGGTGTAAACGGAGTCAGACTTTTTTTTTACTGTGAATATTATTATCATGTTTGCAGAAAAAAAACTCACCGGGATATTTCCTCTTGTGTTCGGCATCAACTTCTCGAGCAAGAGCAAAATATTTCTCCTTAACATCTTGAGACATATTCTTCCAAAGAACTCCCAATCTATAATAAAATTGATAAAATTGTCATCAGTATAATATACATATATGTACATGAATTTAAAAGAATGTAACGAAAAATCATTTCTTAATTAATAGTTTTAAGTGGAAAAAAAATGTCAAAAAATTCTTTATTAGACTTATAAAACAAATAGAAGAAAAGTTCTCTGTGCCTTGTTCTAAAAAACAAAAGGGTGCCAGTGACACTAGCTTGCAGACCTTTTGTTTTTCAAAAGTCCAAAGGTTTCTTGTTTCTTGAAATCGTCATGATGTCAAAGAAAAATAAAGCTCTTCTAAATCAAAGAAAATCTCGTATACATACTTTATGCACAATATATATATTTATATATGAACGATTTAAAAAGCGACGGAATTCCTTTGTCATTTCATTAACCACTCGAAATTCCGGTTGTAAAAAATAAAGACTAAACATATATTCTCTTGCAGAAAGAATTTTTTATTTAGTTTGTTATTAAAGATAATATGTCTCCAAAATTTTTAACGCTCAAAATGATCGAAATCTATTCACTTATTTCCGGATTCAAATTATATTTTAATAATACTTTCTGTTTAAAAAGAATTATTTATAAAGTTTAAAATTGCCTAATTTACATTTTTGATTTTATTGCAGTCAATAATTTTTGAAAATATTTATATTAAAAGTATTTCGTTCATTTGATCGTTCACAATGTTTTTAAATTAAAAAAAAATACTTGACAGACTTTTTGATTAAATAAAGTTTCTCCCAGAATTTTTTTAAAAAAAGACTAAAAATACAAAAAGAAAAAGAGAAAAAATTGAAAAACGTTTCAAATTCTTTTAGCATAAAGAAAGAACAAATTTAAAAAATGAAAATACTTAACAAATATTTTTAATTAAACAAAATTTATTAATCAAAAGAAAAAAATCAAAGTTATTAAGAAGAAAAAGAAAATAAATTGAAAAATGTTTCAAATTTGTTTTGTATATAAATAATTAACAAAAATTAAAAATCCTTACAAACTTTTTGATTATAAATAAAATTTCTCTTGGAATTTTATTAAAAAGAAGTTTAACAATACAAAAAAATAGAGACAAACTTTTTAAATTCTTTTTGCATAAAAATTTAACAGAATTTAATAATAAAAAAACTTAATGAATTTTTTGATTCAATAAAATTTTTTCTACAAGATAAAAATACTTAAAAAATATTTTTGATTAAACAAAATTTTTCCTAGAATCTAATTAAAAAAATGTATAGAAGAAAAAAATAAAAATCAATCGAAAATAATATATAGGGAAAAAATTGGAATACGTTCCAAATTTTTTTAACTCATCAAAACAACAGAATTTTAAATTAAAAATACCTGAAAAATATTTCTAATTGAACAAAATTTTTCCTAAACTTAATTGCAAAAAAAGAAGACAAATAAAAAATCAATCAAAAGAAAAAAATCAAAATTAAAAAGAATCAGGGAAAAAATTCAGGGTGTCTACTATTTCGTTCAACAAAATTTCATGTTTATTTTTCTCATCAAATTTAAATTTATTTGATTTCGAAGATAAATAAATCTACAAATGGCTTCTAAAATTTTTATTATAGTTTCTATAAATAATTAAATTCTTTTGACGAGTTTCTTTAAATTTTTTAAAAATAATGTTTTTTTAATAATTTTAATTAAAAATTTGGAAAATAATTGAATTAAACAAACAATTTTTTGAATTCTTTTAAATAATCTCGTCTGTTCATAATTATAATTGAAAACTTGATTAATTCAATTTTATTAAAATGTATTGATACTAATTGAATTTCTGCAAAGAATTTTCCTATTTATAAAAGTAATTGAATCCTTCCAAAGAATGTTATTATATTTTATGAAAATAATTAAATGTTTGCGTAGAATTTTATTAAAATTTTTGAAAGTAATTGAATTTTGGAGAAGAATTTTTTTTACAGTTTCTAGAAATAATTGAATTCTTTCGACGAATTTTAATAAAAATTTTAAGAATAATAATTACATTTTTCGAGGAATTCGATTAAAATTGTATTAATTGTATTTCAATTATTTCAAAAATTTTCAATTATTTGTTTATAAAAATTCAATTATCTTGAAACAATAAAATTAAAAAATTTCAAAAAATCTAATTTTTCAGAATTTTCAAAAAAACTTTGCAAAAATTCAATTTTATTAATAAATTTTAAATGTGCAATTTTTTTTTTAAATTAACTTATAAAAATTTTAATAATTAATCTTCGTACTAAGAAACATGAATGTATTAGAATGTGACTCTTTATAAAATTCAATTATTTATCAATTATTAAATTAAAATACTTTGGAAATTTGATTTGTTAAAAAGTTTTTAATGAAATTCTTTAACAAATTAAATTATTTTCAGTTGAATTTCACAAAATTTTTATTAATTCGATAATTTTTTAAAAATTTATTTAAATTCTACATTTGAATGAGTGACTGATTTTTTACTATCAAATTAATTATTTTTTTATTCAAATTTAGAGAACAGTATAAATATTTATAAAAATTGAAATAAAAAGCGAATTTTTAACAACAAATTAAAATAATAAAACTGTTTTTAATTTGGTAAAAAAATTCCCGGTTTGGCATAAAATTTCTGGCTTATTCCCGGTTTTTCCCGGTCCAATTAAACTCCCGGCTATTACCAAAAAAAGTTCCAAATTTTTTTAAGTATAAAAAATTAACGGAATTTAAAAATAAAAATACAAACTTTTTGATAAAAATTAAAATTTCCCCTAAAAGATAAAAAATACCTAACAAAATTTTTTTTGATTAAATAAAATTTCTCCTGGAATTTTATTTCCAAAAAAATCCAACAAAAGAAAAAGAAAGGGAAAAAATTGAAAGTGAATATTAAAAAGAAAAAAAAATTGAAACTTGCCTAACGCTGATGTCCTTGTTAGATTCCTTAGGATTTTTAAGGGCAAGTTTTTTTCTCCACTCATTTGCAAAGAGCATAAAGGCATTTGCTGGCCTGGGAATTTTCTGTTTTCCCGGCGCATTGCTGCTGCATAACTCTGTCGTGTAGTTGCGGTCGATTGGTATCTCTTGGTGCACTTGCACTTGAACATAATTTGGCGAAACTTCCTTCGCAAATGGTCCCTTATTTGCCTTTGGTTCAATGCGTATTTGCTGTCGTTTTGTCGTCGTTTCCTTATCATTTTTCACATTCGAATTTCTCTCCCTCAAAATGCCAATTAAATGATCCGATTGAATCACATTTGTCGTTGGAGAATTTTTTTTCCTACACTTGACTCTCGCTTTCTTCACTGGTGTGGTATTCGATCCATCAGAATCGGTATTTTCCTCCGATGTTTCTGAATTCGCCTGCGAGACTGTTAATGGAAAAAAAAAAAAATTATTACAAAAAAATCACAATCATTTCAGAAAAAAATGTTTGAATTTCAAACTGAAAGTTCTGAACTAAATTTTGAATTTCGAAAAGAAATAAATTAATTTCGTTCAGAACTGGAAGTTCTGAACAAAATTAATTTATTTCTTTTTGAAATTCAAAATTTATTTTTTTAATAAAAGAACAAATTATAAATTTTGCTTTTGCTTTACTTTTTTATTATTATTTATCATCTATATTAATAATCGTTGTATTAAAAATAATTTAATTCTTGGCAAAATTTTTATTAAAATTCTTTAAAATAATTGAATTATTGTTTTTAAGAATTTATTTCAATATTTTTGAAAATAGTCGAGTTTTTTAAAATAATTTTTACTGAAAATTTTTAAAGTAATTGAATTTTATGAAGAATTCAATTATTTTCAATAAATGTAATGAAATTGTTTGCAAAAAATCAATTTATAAATAATAAAAAACTTCGTAAAAAATTCAATTATTTTTATATAAATAATAAAATTTTTATCAGAATTTCACTTATATTCAATTTCATTTTTAAATGATTTCTTCGAAAATAGCAATTATATCAATAAATAGTACATTTTCCCCAAGAATAACAATTATTTTAAATACAATTTTCATAAAATTCTTCTAAAAAATTTACTTATTTTTTAATTTTAAAATTTTACAAAAAATCAATTATTTGCAGAAATAATAAATTTTTTGTCAGGGATTCAATTATTTTTAAAAGTTTTAATAAAATTCTATTCAAGAATTTAATTACTTTCAGAAATAATTAAATTTTTGATTTACTGAAAATCATTGAATTCTTGTAAAGAATTTATAAAAAAATTTGAATTTAATTGAATATATTTTAAGAATTTTATCAACATTTTTTCAAATAATTGAATTCTTTCGAGAAAATGTAAATAAAATTGTTTTGAAAATAATTTAATTATTCTTGCCAAGATTTTTATTAAAAGTTCTTTAAAATAATGAAATTTTTTTATAATAATTTTTACTGAAAATTTTGAAAATAATTGAATTTTATAAAGGATTTTTTTCTAGTTATTAAAATAATCTTGTTTATTATTAATAAACAACTTTCCTATTAAATTATATTAAAATTATTCATAAAAAATTTAATTCCTTTAAACAATTTTATTAAAGATTTTGATAAATAATTAAATTTTTTTTAAGAATTTCCCTAAATTTCGTAATAAAAATATTGTAATTTTTAAAAATAATTTTAATTGAAAATTTTTAAAATAATTGAAATTTACAAAGAATTTTAAATTTTATTAAAAACTTTTGAGAACAAGTGAATTGTTTAGAAAAATTTTATCACAATTTTTAAAAATAATTGAACCTGTTAGAGAAATTTTATTAAAATTATCATGAATATAAATGAATTTTTTCCTAGAAATTTTATTAAAATTGTATTTAAAATAATTGAATTTCTCAAAAGAATTTTATTATTTGCAAAAATAATTCAATTCTGGCCAAGAATTTTATAATTTTTAAAAATAATTGAATTGTTTCGCAGAATTTTTTATCAGAATTATTCAAAATAATTGAATTTTTATTAAAACATTTAAAAATAATTGAATTTAAAGAATATTATTAAAAATAATTTATGAAAATAATTGAATTCCTTTTAAGGATTTTATTAATTATAAAAATATTTTAATTCTTGGGAAGAATTTTCTTATTCATAAAAATAATTGAATTGTTTCAAAGAATTTTTTAATTTATAAAAATAATTGAGTTGTTTCGAAGAATTTCTTAATTTATAAAAATAATTAAATTGCTTCGAAGAATTTTATTTGAATTTTTGAAAATAATTGATTTTTTTAAGGAATTTTATTAAAAATTTTGAATAATAATGATTTTTTAAAAAAAAATTTCATCAAAATTGTTTAAAATAATTGAATTTATATTAAAATTCTTGAAAATATAACATTTTTTAGTATACAAAATAAATATTTGTATTAGCAAAAATCTTTTTGAACTCTTTTTTTCAAATTTAATATTTATTTACTAATTTTTTTATATTAGCAAAAAATTTGGTTCCTTATTTTTCTATTTGAATTTTTTATAAAAATTTCTTCTTCACCAATAATTTCAACAACAAAAAATTTTAATCGAAAAATTTTGACCGTTTTACGCTCGAAAAATATTTTTTTTCTTTTGTGAACTTCACTGTCGTTAATAATTAAAATTAAAAATTTTAGATAAAGGACGAACCTATTATCGTTTTTCAAAAAAAACATTCGTTTTGAAAGCCTTTTTATTTTTGACAAACGGACTTTTTGTTGAAAAACAAAAGAGTGAATTTTCGAAAAATATTTGCCAAATAAAAAAATATGACGTTATATTATTATCAGATAATAATTCATAATCAATACAATAGAAATTAATTACAAACAACTATTGACTCAAAAATCCCTCTCAATTTTTGCATTCGTAATTTAATCAATCGTAAAATACTTAATTGTAACGTTTTAATTTTAATTCAAAGGAAATAATTTAATAGTGTCAGAAATAATAAATAATAATTTAACAATAAAACAAAAATAAGAATAAAATACAAATAATGTCAAAATAAAAAAAATGAATAATGACAATACAGATAAAATGGTAGAAAATGACAATCCCTAGCAAATAAAAGTAAAAAATGAAAATTATTCCATCTGAAAAGTAGAAATTGCGAATACGAATTATTGAAAATATTTTTTTTCGTTAAAAAAAAATTTACGAAATTAGAAAAAAGGCACAAATTATTTCTCACCTTTCGTGATGAAATTCTTAACAAGAGCAAAAGCCTCCATATTTCACAGAAGAAAAAAAAAACAAAATTTGATTCTTTATACGAGTCGAATAATCACTGATATCTAACAATCACAATGGACATTATTAAATTCCACAAAGAGAATTAATTTCTTCACGATGAAGACAACGTGGTTGTTGTTGAAGAAAACTAAAAATCTTAACAAATATTTTCGTTGTCAATAGTAACACTACTTTCACTACAAAAACTGCAATCCAACGATAACGATACGACTGTTGTGGTTCGACGAAAAAAAGAAGAAACAGTTGACGATCGCCAAATAATTGAAAAGCTTCATCATAGGCGTCGTCACTTCTCAAAATTTTGTCAATTTTTCACCTCTCTTTGTCATTCTTGCCAACTGTTCAAAAAATATTTTCTAAAATTTATTTCTTCTTTCTTTCTCGAGAAATATTTTTCCCAGATTTATAACAAGAAATAAAGTGACAAAAAAAGGAAGAAATGTATTGTGAAGATTCATACGAATGTCCAAAATGTATCGATTATTATGGTGTTTTAAATTTAAGAAGAGATTGCCAATTGGCAGATATCCAAAAAGCGTGAGTTTTTTTTTTTATTTATTTTTCCAGGAATTTGTAACATTTTTCTTTCATTATTGCCTTTTAAATTAAATTAACCAGTGCGGAAAATCGTAAAATATGTTACGATTACTGAAATTAAATTTATTATTATTATCAATTTTCGTTTTCTACTTTAATTATTATATTTTTAATTTGAAATTAAATTTAAAAACGAGAAATAAAAAATTGAAAAGAAGGAAAAAATTGAAAAAGGAAAATAAAAAATAAAAAAATGAAAAATTCCAAAGGGAAAAAATAAAAATAGGAAAAAAAGGAAAAATTCAAAAAGGAAAAAAATTATAAAAAGAAAAAATGTAAATAAAATTAAAAAAAACTAAAAAATAGATTTCAAATGAGAAAGAAGTTTTTATTTTATCTTCTAAAGGACAGAAAATTCTCGGCTCTCTAAATTATATTATAAATTTTATATATAATCTCGTAAACAAATCTATATAACAAGAAACGTTCGTGATCCATCGCAATTTAAGTATAAGACGTAAATAATTACTTAATTCGAAAAATTACAACGACACGCCTTTCATTTTCTACACCATAATTATGAAAATGACACGAATCAAGTAGACGAATTTAATTAAACTGGTGACCGATTTTTCAGGTGCCTTGAGAAATTAGTAACACGCCTAGAAAAACGATATTCTAATTTCAAACATAAAATACTCATTAAGTCGATAACACTTTCATTCATTTTTTTAAATATAAAACATACATTAATAATTCTCGGAAACATAAATGAATCAATTAGCAACTTCTAAAAAAAAATTAACTTATGACAGAGTATAGAAATAATTTGAAGAAAATAAGAGATTTTTATCTTAAGGTGTGATAATTACTGATGGTGTGATGATCATTATATAAATATATTTGATAATTATTTTCGATAATAGATTTAAGTAAACATTAAATCAATAAATTTAAATAAATAAAATAAATTTGACTCAATAAATTTAAATAATTAAATTTGCTATTATAAATTATGCAAAAAAAAAGGAAAGAATTATTTGAACCAAAAAAATCGATTACTTGATTGTAATCAAATAAATATTGAAATGAATAATAATTATTTAATTTTTATTAAATTTACATTTTTTAAAATTTTAAATTGAAAAAAAAAGAATTCAATTATTTTTATAAATAGTAAAATTATTTACAAGAACTCAATTATTCTCAAAACAATTTTAATTGAATTCCTCATCAGAATTCAAATATTTCCATAAAATTCAATTATTTCCTAAAATTTTAATAAATTCTTCGAAACAATTCCAATTATTTTTATAAATATTAAAATTTCTTTGCAGGAATATTAAAATATTTTTATTCCAATTTAAATAGAATTACACGAAAAAATGTAATTATTCTCAAAAATTTCCATAAAATTTAATTTCAACAAGAATTTAAAATTCTTCAAAAATAATTCAATTATTCTCAAAATATTTTTAAAAAAATTCTATATGAAAATTAAATTACTTTCAATGTAATTTTTAAATATATTTGTAAAAAAAATTTGAATAAATTCAATTATTTTCGAAACAACTTTAATTGAATTTCTCGAAAGAATTTAATTATTTTCAAATATTTCTATAAAATTCTTCAAAACAATTCAATTTTTCCTAAAATTTTAATAAAGTTTTCGATCAATTCATTTATTTTTATAAATAGTAAAATTCCTTGCAAAAATTCAATTCTTTTTCAAATATTTACATAAAATTAATTTATTTCCTAAAATTTTAATAAATTCTTCGGAACAATTCAATTATTTTTATAAATAATAAAATTATTTTCAACACAATTTTAATAAAATTATTCTTCATAAAATTCAATTGCTTTCAAAATTTTCAATTAAAATTATTAAAGAAACTCTATTTTACTTTTAAAAAATTCAAAAAAATTCTTCAAAAGAATTTAATTAGGATTTTTTAAAATTTTAATAAAATTCATCGCGCGAATTCAATTATTTTCATAAATAAAAAAATAGTTCAAAGGAATTTAATTATTCTCTTGAAATTTTTTGATAAGATTCTTTGCAGGAATTCAATGATTTTTAATACATTAATTTTAAAAATTGAAAATATTTAAAGAGAAAAATATTAAAAATTAAAATAAGTTAGGAAACAAAAAAGAAATCAACAACTAACATCAAACTGCGAACAGATTTACTGGAATACAACGATTATTAATATAGATTATTATTATTTAAAATAATTTAAAAATTCATAATAAATTATTATTTTTATTTATTATTAGTATAAAGAAATATAAATAAGAATAAAGAAAATAAGAATAAAAATTACAAAATTAAAAATTGGCAAACTTTTTGATTATACAAAATTTCTGCTAGAATTTTCCAAAATGTTCCAAATTCTAAATGAAAGAATCTATAACAACTATAACAACAATCTAACAAAAAAAAAAAAAAAAAGAAAAAGGAAAACAAACTGAAAGTAACAATTAATATAAATGAATTGATAAAAATAAATTAGAATAAATTTGTAAAAAAAATATATAAAATATGAAAATAAATACACAAGAGAATTATTATTTAATTAATTCAATTAAAAATTATTTGATACAAATAAATATTTATTTAATAATATGTAATAGACAAATAATCCATTGTTTAAACCAAATAAATTTTTTTCTCACTACATTAATTTGTTTATCGATCTGTTAATATTTATCATTTTAAAATAAAAAATTAATTAACTATATTTATTGCTCGTTTATATATTGAAATAAATAATCAAATTGTAAAATAATAAAACGACTACATTCCCACAAGTGGTTTTTATTATTTTATTTATTATATTTATTCATAATTATTAACGCACTGGAAAAAATGTATTTGGTTCAAATGACCGATTACTTGTCTATTATAAAATAAATATTTACTTGAAACAAATAATTTTTATTTGAAGCAAATAAATTTTATATCTTAAAACTATAATTTTGGTATTTGAACCAATAACTTATTAATTTCAGTATTTGAAGTAAATACCACTTAATTGGGATAAATAAAAATGTTTGTAAATAAATATTTATTACATTAAATATTTATTTATTTAAAAAAAATATGAATTGATATTAAATTTTCCAAATACTATTTATTTAGCATAAATAAAAAATTTTGTAAATAAATATTTATCCCATTAAATATTAATAACTAATTAAATTTTTCAAAAAAAAAATTAAAAAAAAAAAAATTTCCATTTTTAAAAATTTAATTATTTTAGTGTATGGAAATCTTGTTTGAAATGCCGGAGAAGATAATAATATAGATCAGGAAAGCAATTGGTTTTTGTCGTAAAATAAGTGGGTAAATTCCTCCTATTCAGGTTCAGACGTTTGGCCATTCAATATAATCCTGAGAGGCAAAAGGATAAAAGCGTCGAGGTTGTTTTCGGTTTGATTGCAGAAGCGTACGACGTCTTGTCGGATCCTCTCAGACGAGCAGTTTATGATCAGTATGGCGAGAAAGGTTTAAAGGGAGGTGTGCCAGGACCAGAAGGCTATATACAACCCTACACTTTTCATGGGGAACCCTTAAAGACATACAGGTTTTGTTTTTTCTAAATATAGTAACAAAATTTCCTTTTTTGTATTTTAATTAAATATAATTATTTATTATTATTTTATCTATTTTTATTATTATTTATTACTATTTTTTGAAATAATTCATAATTATTTACTATAATTAATTAATAATTAATAAACTGTTGTCAATTCTTTTGTTTTTTATTCCATTTTATTATTGTAATTAATATTGTTTGTTAATTTACTATTGCGTTTATTATAAATAATAAATTAATAAATTAAATTAATAAAAAAAAGGAATATTATAATCTTTAAATTTGAATAAATAAAAATGTTTACTAAGTAGAATCAGTAATTGACTTTTTGGTTTTGAATTAGTAAATTTTACTAATAAATTGGTAGAAATTACTATATATTAGTTAAATTTAGTAATTCAAAAGCAAAAAAGTAATTCACTAATAAATAGTAATTTATCTACTAATTTATTCGATGTCCCAATTCAAAAGCAAAAAGTCGGTCACTAATTCAAATTATTAAACATTTTTACTAATTTAAATTTAGAGAAGAGAGTAACTTTAAAAAATGAAAAAATAAGTTTCTTATTAATTTAAAAAATTCATAATCTATTGGATATAAAAAAAGTAAAATAAAAAAAATTTATATTATATACTGATTATAAAAGAAATGAAAATAAAAAAATTATATTCTATTGAATATAAAAGGAAAGAAAATAAAAAATCCATATTCTACTGAATATAAATAATTAATTTTCTATGGAATATGATTTTTTGTAATTTAAATAAAGAGAATTATTGATAACAATTTTTGCATTAAAAGGGAATTTTTCGGAACGACGAGTCCTTATGCAGATTTATTAGACATACCGAAGAAACCCGTAAAATCTTTGGAAAAACCTGAAGAATGTGAAATTAAGAGTAAAGAAGAACCTATAATAAAACCTCTATCACTGACTTTATCCGAGGTTGTGATTATTTATTTACAGTAAAACCTGTCGGAATGCAACTCGATTTTTTTTATTACAGTAAAAGATTTTTAAAAGAATTTTTTTCAAATGTATATTTTGAATATAAATAAATAAACAACTAATTTGATTTTATATTTTTATAATATTCTCGAAAATAATTCTAGATGAATGCAAAATTTTTTTTTAAAAGTTCCATTCCGACAGGTTCGACTGTATTAAATTTTTCCAAAATATAGTATTTCGTATAAGATTCAATTATTTATTGATATTTAATTTATTTCAATTATTTATTTCTAGTTTTTTTTGTGGAAAACATTTTTCTCCAGATAAATGTAAACAAATGTGGAAAAATGTTTACTTTCTCCTCTCTCGTATTAAATAAAAAAAATTGTAGATATTTTTCGGTGGTTTGAAGAAAATGAAAATACAAAGACATGTCTTGGTTGGCGAAGATAAAGCGACCACTGAGTTAAAGGAAAAAATTCTTACAATACACATCAAACCCGGATTACCATCTGGGACTAAAATTGCTTTTCCAGAACAGGGAGATCAAGGACCAACGAAAATTCCTGGTACAAAATTTTCTGTATCTTCCTTTTTTAATTTTCAAAAAAAATTATTATTTGTAAATTATTATTCATTGAAGAGATTCAATAAGTAAATTTTGAATTAAATTAATTTTTAAATGTAAAAATATATAAAAAATTTAAAAAAAAGAAAATTCTAACAAATAATTTTTATAAAGTTAGTTAAATGGTCTTGCTTCAAATACTGAAATTATTGGTTCAAATACAATTTATTTATTTGATGGAAGTAAATATTTGGTATTTTTATAGCCAAGTAGATATTTATTTAGACAAGTAATTGGTTATTAACTTTGATTAAAATAATTTTATTTCCATTGTTATAAATAGTAATTTTCATCTAATTATTAAATAATAATTTATTTATACATAAAATGAAAAAATAAAATAAATTTTTTCAAAGAAAATACAAAAAAAATATTTATAGACATTTTTTTCAAAGAAAATTGGAAGAAAATGTAAAAATAAAATGCTTTCAAAAAAAAAATTGAAAAGATATGTAATAATAGAAATGTTTATGAAACAAGTATTTATGTAATTTAGCTGACATAATTTTCATTACCGAGGATCGTCCACACGAAATATTTAAGAGAGATGGAAATAATCTTATTATGACTGTTAATGTTTTTTTGCGGGAGGCTCTGACTGGATTGACAGTCACAGTTCATACAATCGATGACCGAATTTTAAGGGTTCCAATTACATCAGTAATTACGTAAGTCGATCTTAATAATTTTCAAATTAAATATTCAATTAATTACAATTATTATTAGAATTGAATTACTTGTAAATTGTCTTCCAGTAAAATTACAATAAATATTATATTTTACAGTAAAACGAATGTAAATTATTTCCCAATTAAATTTACTATAAATTATTTTACAGTAAAAGTACTAAAAATTATTTCTCAGTAAAATTTACTATAAATTATTTTCCAGTAAAAGTACTGAAAATTATTTAACAGTAGAATTACTGTAAATTATTTTTAGTAAAATTGATGTAAATTATTTTACAGTGAAATTAATGTAAATTATTTTACAGTAAAATTAGTATTTAAATATTATTTTGCAGTTAAATTACTATAAATTATTTTACAGTAAAATTACTGTAAATTATTTTTCAGCAAAATTACTGTAAATTATTTTTTAGCAAAATTACTGTAAATTATTTTTTAGCAAAATTACTGTAAATTATTTTTTAGCAAAATTACTGTAAATTATTTTGCAGCAAAATTACTGCAAATATTATTTTACAGTAAAATTATTATTATTATTTTACTTTTATTATTTTTAATTATTATTTTACTGTAAATTTGTTTGCAGCAAAATTACAATAAAATATTTTACAGTAAAGTTACTAAAAATTATTTTGCAGTAAAATTACTGAAAATGATTTTGCAGTAAAATTACTGTAAATTGATTTACAGTAAAACTATCACTGTAAAAATTCAAAGAAATAAATTAATTAACAATTTAGTAATTTTAATTGATATTTAATTCAATATTTTAATTTTTTTTATAATAAATAAAAAATCTATAATAAATAAATAATTACTTTAGGCATTAATTAACATTGACATTTATCAAATTTAATTTATTTTTCAATTTCTTTGATTTAGGCCTAATTATCAAAAACAAATAACAGGCGAGGGTTTACCAATTGTCAACAATCCTAAAGAACGGGGAGATTTGTTGATTGATTTTAATATTAAATTTCCGGTGTATATGTCGGTTGAAAGTAAAAATTATATAAAAAAGGCTTTCGAGATTTCAAGTGATACTGATTCAACAGAGGACACCGAGTATATTCATCGATTTTTACTAGCTGATAAAATACGAAGAAATGTCGATGATGACGTTCCTTTACAAAGAAGCCCCGACAATGAACTAAATAAATTAGTTTGTTAATTACAAAAAAAAATTCTTAAATTTCGTTAAATTATCAAATTAAATTTGACAATTGTTATTAAATTTTTAAGCGATAGTTTTCAAACTTCCATTTAATTGAAAATATAGTTAATATAATTATTTATTATTTTCAATTAAATCTCCACTCAAATAAAACCTTCGTTTTTTAAAAAATCATTATTTATTGGAATTTTTCTCTTTTTTTCGTCTCCTTTTATTTTATTTATTGCAATTTTTTATTTTATTTCAATTTATTTTTATTTATTTTTATTTATTTTTATTTATTTCTATTTAGTTCTATTTTTCTTCATTTATCTATTAGTTAATTCAAATTTAATTCATGTTCAATAATTCTGTTTGAAGATGATTCCTACAAACTGCATTGTATGACTGGTTGCAGTCGACAACTCGAAATTTTTATTTCTTCAAAAATAAATATTTAACCATCAAAACGTAATAATTTGAAGATAAATAAAATTTCTTACAATCCTTATTTTCATTTTCAAGAATTTTTTAAACTCTAATTACCAGTTTCTTGATTTTCTAAAATTTTAATTAAAAATATTGTTTGATTTCAAATTATTTGAAAATTTCCCGCTTTCTTTTTTTAAATAAATACGCCGATAAAGTAGAAAATTACCGACACTGTTTTATCAATTGGGTGATAAAGATAAGTTTATCTTAATAGCGTGTAATTATCTGTCATCTGAAGAAACAATACCTCATGAAATCATATGACTTCACCGCACGTGACTTTATTTACCATTTATTTACAGTCATGTTACAACTCCTGAATATATACGATGGAGTTTTATAAGTGAGTGATAGTGAGTAAATCCGAGTTCAACTGGGAATGCATTATACTTTCCCCCGTTTTTATTGACTTATAATGTCTTTTATCACAAAGTTGTTCTCGTCAAAAAACGATTTCACCAAACAGAATGCTACTGAAAGTAATACGCCATTAAATATTGAAATTCAGACGAATAAGAGGTAAGAATTAACCCGGATTAGAACCATATTCCCCATTTTTTTAAAATGCTTCTCAAATAAGATGCATTTTATGCATTTTTTTTTATTCTAACCTTTCGAGTTAATAAAATTCACCCTTTTTAACATATTTTGTCTAATAATATTAGTATTTTTATTGCCTTTATAATTTAAAAGAAAAAATTAACAAATAATTCATCGAGAAAAACTGCAATATGTGAAATAAATATGCAGTTGTATACATATATTAGTAAAGCAAAGAAAGTTGTAGGAGGGGGACGCCATTCATCAATGCAATTCCTGGCAATTCTAACCTAACGTCGTAAAACCTGTTGATATAATCAACGAAACGGTTTAAAATAAAAAATTCCATTCTAATTTTAAAGAATCAAATGAGAACGATTTTCTTTTAATAGAAAATTTACAATTGTTTTCAAAATCCACCTTTTAAAAAAGAAACCAAATGATTTTTTATGTATCGATTTTTATTTTTTAATTTAGGCACTTTTTATCAATAAAAAAATAATAATTAATGAGATGATTGGGTAAAAATGAGTAATTAAAGAGATAAACACTGTAACAATTTGTTTATGAGTATTCAAAATTTCAAACAACTCAACAAACTACTTGTTTTAACAATTATTTGTTTTGTTTTTTTTTCAGAATTGAATTTTTGTAACAGCTAAAGAAAAAAATCTACTTTCGAAAATTTTAAGAATCGATACTATTTGAATTATTTATTTAAAATAATTTATTTCAAAATATTTGATTTTAATACTTGGGATGAGTTTTGAAAAACAATTAACATATTTCTATAATCATGATGCAAACGTTATTTTAATTATAAAAATAAAATATAGAATTTAAATTAAGAAATTATATTTTACAGGGAATCTTTGAACTTTGGAACGGACCAAGTGCGAATATTATTATTTCGGGAGTGTGAATGGCGTGGAAGAAAACTACTTTTTGATTCTTTAGCAGTGGAAAAATCGCAGCCGAAAAACTCTTCGTTTTGTTCTTTATTCAAAAGTGAAAAGGAGAAAAAATGCAAACCACCAGCAGAAATAATAAATGGCATTGGCGAGGTATTTATTTCGCTTTAAAAACCTTATAAATCATTTATATTTATAAATTATTACAGCATTAATTAACATTCATTTGTCTCTAATTAAAAATATGATTTTTTTAATGCAGCAGCAAAAGAAATTAGCATATGAGGATGTAAATTTACTGAGCGAGATGGTTTTCGGCACTGTTGCTATGACTTACAGAGGACCGTCTTTTAAGGTAAAATTTGATTTTATTTCAGTTAAAAAATAAAATTTTATTCTTTAATATTAAAAGCAAAAAACTATTAAAATTAAAGCAAAAATCCAATAATTTGAATTTACAAATTTCAACTTTGTTTAGATTCACGCAATAAATTCTCCGCCATGTATTATGAGTACAAAAGTCTTCCCAGCATCCGAACACAGTGTGTGTCGGAAAAGGTAACGAAAAAAATTAATTTTTATTGTTACGTAGAAAATTCAATTACTAATTTGCTAATTAAATTTGAATTTAACAATTTTTCTCAGTGAAAAACAATCGGACGAACGCATTGGATATAATCCGGAGTCTAACTCGAGTAGTGGAAGTGTAAGAACACAAGGTAAGAAAAATTAGAAAGTAAAAAATTCCAAGATGACAAACATAATTTTGAATATCGGTTCATTAAATATAATTTTCACGATCAAATTATGATTATAATTATTGAATCTTGTGTTTTATAGATTCACGACCTAGTTCCGGAAATTTGTCGGCGAACAGTCTCAGTCCGAATATTAGAAAAAGTTCTACGTGTTCAAGCACCGGAAGTGGTTGGGACATAGACATTTCTCTTCCTCACGGCAGTAAGTTCATTGAAGACGAATAAATGTCCGTTTAAAAATAAATATTTACTAAAAATAAAATATTTAAAAATAAATATTCACTAAAAATGAAATATTTAAAAATAAATATGAATTAAAAATGAAATATTTTAAAAATAGATATTTTAAATATTAATATACGATAATACTGATTTTGTAATAATTTCAATTTTTAATTTCAGGTTCACATTCACTAGAAAGCAACTTTTCGGGGAAAGGCAGCAGTCTGACTAGCCTTCGAAGAAGATGGATTCGAGCCATTTCGACATCCCTAAGTCCCCCTGAGTCCGACTATTTGTTTACGCATTACAACGAAAATTCTAATGAACAAGAGAAAAATGTTCGCCGACACAAGACCAGACTTGGTTTAGCGTTGTTGATAAGACTTACACGAGGGCATGAACAGTGAGCAATGTTTCATTAAATTAAAACTGAATTCTTTTGAATTTGCTTCTTTCTTTTAATTCTTTCCGAATTTGCTAAATTACTACAGAAAAATACTAGAGAAATTATTCCTTATAAGTAAATATTGCCTAATGGTTAAAATAATTTATTTTCGAAATCTCACACTTTTTCTTTCTGTTATTCATAGGGAAATGGAATCTAAACTATTGGAACATGCAGCTTTTCTCGAAGGAATGTTGAATCGATTACGTCTGTCATGTGCTGGCTCAAATAAAGGTCAAAACAATGACAAAGGAAATGAACTGACAATACGTCTACAAAGAGCATCGTCTTGTTGCACAATTTGGTTATTACGTTTTCTTATGAATTCCTCTGACTCAACAACACCTTTACTGTGGCATGACACTATGCTGAACACGACATTCCCGAAAGACGAGAGAATCAACATAATACACAATGGTCTCAAAGAAATGTGCAGATTACTCGACAATTTCGACACGAAATCAACCAAGTTGTAAGCAACAACAAATTTAACAATTACTAAACATTATTACATACTCTCGAAGTAGAAAGTTAAAAATAATTTTATATTTTTGATTTTAATACAATATGTGACGCTCCACGCTTCCCTTTTGACGTAGAGGGTCACATATATAAATAATGTATGAATAATGTATAAAAATATACATAAATAATAAATAGTTAAAAATAATAAATATATATAGATAAAAAAGATAAAATTAAATTCGCAAATTTACAGGGTTGCCACAGGTCAGGAAAATCAGAGAATTCAGGGAAAAATCGGGGAAAGTAGAATTGGTCCGGGTAATCAGGGAAAAGTCAGGGAATTTTATTAAAAGTATTGGAAAAAATTAAATGTTTAGAATTTACAACAAAATTCTCAATTTTAGTATCTGACTCATAAATTATGAAATTACCACGAATTCTAAAAAACCTTAAATCTTTTCTATCTCTCACAATAATTTAATTTAACGCAATCTTAATAAATATTAAAATTCTTCCCAGAAATTTAATTATTTTCCAAAATTTTTAAAAAGTTCTCGTCAGCATTTCAATTATCTTTATAAATATCAAAATTCTTCGACAAACTTTAATTTTATTCAGGAATTTTAATAAAATTAAATTATTTTCATAAATAACAATATTCATCGCAAGAATTCAATTATTTTCAAAATTAATAAAATTCTTCGCAGAAATTCAATTCCTTTCAAAAAATCTTTAAAAATTGTCGTCAACATTTCAATTATCTTTATAAATGAACAGCAACATTTTTCGACAAAATTAAATTATTTTCAGGAATTTTAATAAAATTCATTGCAAAATTCAATAGTTTTCAAAAATAATAGTATTCATTACAAGAATTCAATAATTTTCATAAATAATAGTATTCATCACAAGAATTCAATTTTTTTCAAAAGTAATAAAATTCAATTATTTTCAAACATTTTAATAAAATTCATTGCATTTAAAAGCAATTTTGATAGAATTTCAATTACTTTTCAATACAATTCTAATCAAATTCCTCGAAAAATGTAATTATTCTTAAAAATGGTATTAAAATTCGTCGAAGAAAGAATTTAATTTTTTAAAAATTTGTTGATAAAATTATGTATAAGATTTATTTATTTATTTATTTTAGATTTATTTTAAGAAATATTCAATTATTCAACAAATTATCTGTTTTTATTTAAATAATTGAATTCTCGTAGAATTTTCTAATAAAAATTTATTTCAGTAAAACTTTTAGATAATAATTGAATTTTGGAGACTAATAATTCAATTATTTTGATAAATAACTTTTCATTCGTCTCCAGGAAATTAATTATTTTCAAAAATTTTTAAGTAATAATTCTGCAAAAGAATCCAATTATCTTGATAAACAACAAAGTTTTCCACATAAAATCAATTATTTTAAGAAATTTTAATAAAACTCTTTTCCAAAATTCAATTATTTCGATAAATATAAACATTTATCATAAGAATTCAATTCTTTTGAAAACTAATAAAATACTTTCCGAAAATTAAATTATTTTCAAAATTTTTTAAACATTCCTGTTAAGAATTAAATTATCTTTTTTTATAAATAGATAGCGAAAATCTTCTCAAGAATTAAATTATTGTCAGAAATTTTAAGAATATTCTTGGCAAAATTTCAATTATTTAAACGAAATTTAATCGAAATTCTTCGCATGAATTCAATTATTTTCATAAATTATTATTTAAATTCTTCTCAGGAATTCAATTGTTTAAAAAAATTTTAATAAAATTCTTCATAAAGTTTTCATTTATTTTCAAAAATTGTTATAAAATTCTTTAATTTGATAAACTTCAGTAAAATTTTCATTAAATTCCTTAAAAGAAATGAATTAGTTTCAAAAGTTGTTAATAAAATTCTTCGTAAAAAATAAATTCTAAGAAACATTCAATTATTGAATAAATTATTTATCTTTGTATTTAAATAATTGAATTCTCGTAGAACTTTCTAATAAAAATTGATTTAAAAATGAATAATTTCAGTTAAAATTTTAGATAATAATTAAATATTAAAAGCATTAGGGGGGGAATATTTAAAAATAATTAAATTTTGAAAAGGTTTCGAATTCAAATCTTTGAAAATCAGAATTTTTCGCACTTTTAACTAACAATTATGCGTAGAATTAATTTTATTTTATTATTAATTCACTGGGTTATCTTTAATTTATTATAAAAACATGAAGAAATCGATTACTCCGAGTCGAAGATTCGGAGTGATCCAGTTCTTCATGTTTTACAATAATATTTTTATCAGTTTATTGAATTTTAAAATGTTTGAATTTGAAATAATTTTGGAATTGATTTACTTTTGAAGAAATTTGTAAGTAAATGTAATAGAATATTTTTTTGATTATCTAATAATTTTTAGAGTGATTCAGAATATTCTTTAGGGGCAGGGAAAAAGTCAAGATTTTGTCTGTAAATCAGGAAAAATCAAATTTTTGCGGCAACCCTGTGATTTAATTTTGTAAATTTGTTTAAACATTGATAAAATTAGAGTTTGTAAATTGCTCTCAAATTGTAATTCTCTTTCGCATATTTACTGAAATTGATTTTTTAGCTTCTTAAGCACGTTAGTGACTGCCGTTTTAACCCATCATCTCGGTTGGGTTCATACAGTTTCATCTGGATTTAATCGAGAAACGGTAAATAGTAATTTTTTCCCCTCAATTTTCTTACGAACAAATTACAATTATTTCAGTAAATTGAATTAAAAAGTTGAGAATTTATATCAATTGTTTCTAAAAATAAAACCAGAATTGAATTTTTTTTCAAAAATAAACTTATCTTTTTAATAGGTGGAAAAATTGCGAAAGCAGTTTCCCTGTAATCCCTTGTGGGCACAACTTGGAGACTTATACGGTGCCTTAGGGAATCCAGTAAAAGTCGTTCACACTGTAATCGCTGGAGATTCTGACAAAGTGGAAACTATAAATTCAATATTAATATTTCTAACATATTTCATTCGAAGTGGAATTGTGAAAAAGGAATACGAGCGTCGATGTAAATCACAGCAAGACGTTCAAGAGGCAATTGTTCTATTGGAACAATTAAATAGACATCGTCCCACATTATCAAAACGAAATATTGAGACAATTTCCAATAATTCTAAAGTACGAAAAATTTCCAAAAGGAGAGTCGAATTAAAAAAGTCTGATTTAGATGAAGGCGAAATTTACGAGAGTAATCAGGTTAAAATATCCGAGAATAATGCACCAAAATTGAAAAGAAGTAGCACTCTACTAAAGAATCTTGATTCCTTAAATGGAATTCATTCGAAACTCGAGTTCGATACACATTGGAAGGATGAGACTGAAATGAAGAGTAACACAACGGCGAGTAAAGTGAAAATCATTGTCAGCGAAACTTCCCCCCATGAAATTCGAAAAGATCAAAGTATGTATCGAGAGAGTGCTTTACAGGAGTTGGAAAAGAAATTCAACGACGAAGTAGACGACGCTTTCATGGAAGCAAAACTCGATACACTCACCTGGGATCGTTTAAGTGAAATGAGAAAACTCAATTCCGAGGATTTAGGAGATTCCTACACCCTACCGTTAAGCATTGACTTTCCAAGCCAAAGACAAGAGACCCAAGTATTTTTTACCCTGGGCGATGAAGAGAAACCCCTCAAATCTCGATTACGTCCCCGATGTAATTGTCAATGTGCCTTTACATTCACAAAAGTGCCAAGTACTTCAGCCGATCTTCCCGAAGGTGTTCTTCGTAAAATTATCCAAAGAAATTTTCCCGAATCTTCAAAAAATATGCAACTCTCATCCGAAGCTGCTTCTTCCAATGATTCACTAAGTTGTCTCAAATGTCGAAGGAGAAATAAAGCATCGAAGCAAAATTACGAGAACGATAAATTACATCTCGAAACGCCAACGAACGCCACCGATGTACTTCGTTCGTGTGCAAATTCAGGTTCAAATGAGGGAATGTTTGCACTACCTGATCTAAATAGTTTCGAGGCCCTAATGGAAGCGAATAATGTCATTGAATTGCCAATGCCGCGTTCAAATCAAATTCCAATAAAAAAACGAATCGCGGAAAATGTGGGATTCACGAGTTCATTGATGAGCCGAAGGGTTGTACACAATGACAAAAAGAAATTGCCTCCCGATATTTGCGACTCGGGATACACCTGGGGATTGGTGATGCAGGGTATGATAAAGAAGAAGAAGAAATCTCGAAGAAAATACAAAGACGAGAAGGATGAGAGCGAGGATCAAGCGAGGAATTGGTGGCAACCCATGAGAGAGGAAATAGAAATTAATGCCCGATTCCCATCGGTCGATCAACCAGTGGCTGAATCTCTCTGCATTTTAGCTGATCTCGATACTTGGCAGGTTGGACTTTTATCCAATAATTCCCTTCCTCAGAATCCTCCGTTACCGATAGGAATGTCTCGACTCGTCGCCAATATGTTGGAAGGTTTCTCTTATATTTGGAAAAAATACCACTCCGCGGAAGATGTAAGTTTAATCACTTTTTTTTAAATTCCAATTGTGCAATATTTATGTTTTAAATATTTATTTGGATAAAGTTTAATCATGTATTATACTACTTTTTAATTTTCAAATGCTAACTTCAATTTTCGAATGATTTCAGACTCAAAATTTAAAACAATCAACTTATTAACTAATTAGATAATTATTATTCTTTATTATCTTCTAAAATATTAATAAAATTCTTCGGAGGAATTCAATGATACAATTTTAATAAATTTTCTCGAAGAAATTCAATACAATTATTATTATTATTATATATAATAATCGTCGTGATTCCAGATTTCCGGATCTCTGTCCACACTTGAAGTTAGTTATAGTTGTTCTTTTGTTTTTTATACGTTTTGATAGAAAATAGAAATATACATATACATATATACATACATTATAATAATCGTAAGTTTCCTTTCCGTTAGCAAATTATCTGCATTCATTTGTTTGTTTTGAAAAATTAATTTTGTGGGTTAAGTATTGGCATTTTTTATATATTTTTTAATGTCAAACTTTTTGATGTGGAAAATACTTTACTTATTAAATTGTCTCGACTCTTTGGTAAAAAATCTAAAATTATCGGAAATTATCAAAAATTCAAAAATCCGAATTTCTTAAATTTCAACATTTTTTCCTCTCTTTTATAGAATTTAGCTTCGTTATTTTTGTGCTTTTGGAAAATACTTTACTTATTTAATAGTCTCGACTCTTTGGTAAAAAATCAAAAATTATCAAAAATTCGAAAAAATTCAAAAATCCGATTTTCTTAAAATTCAACATTTTTTCCTCTCTTTTATGGGATTTAGCTTCATTATTTTCGTGCTTTTGGAAAATACTTTACTTATTAAATTGTCTCGACTCTTTAGTAAAAAATCTAAAATTATCAAAAATTCGAAAAAATTCAAAAATCCGATTTTTAAAATTGAACATTTTTTCTTCTCTTTTATGGGATTTAGCTTCATTATTTTTGTGCTTTTGAAAAATACTTTACTTATTTAATAGTCTCGACTCTTTGGTAAAAAATCTAAAATTATCGAAAATTATCAAAAATTCAAAAATCCGAATTTTTTAAAATTCAACATTTTTTCCTCTTTTTTATAGGATTTAGCTTCATTATTTTTGTGCTTTTGGAAAATACTTTACTTATTAAATTGTCTCGACTCTTTGGTAAAAAATGTGAAATTATCGAAATTATCAAAAATTCAAAAAATCCGAATTTCTTAAAATTCAACATTTTTTCCTCTCTTTTATAGGATTTAGCTTCATTATTTTTGTGCTTTTGGAAAATACTTTACTTATTAAATTGTCTCAACTCTTTAGTAAAAAATCTAAAATTATCAAAAATTCGAAAAAATTCAAAAATCCGATTTTCTTAAAATTCAACATTTTTTCCTCTCTTTTATGGGATTTAGCTTTATTATTTTTGTGCTTTTGGAAAATACTTCACTTATTTAATAGTTCGACTCTTTAGTAAAAAATCTAAAATTATCAAAAATTCGAAAAAATTCAAAAATCCGTTTTTTTTAAAATTCAACATTTTTTCTTCTGTTTATGGGATTTAGCTTCATTATTTTTGTGCTTTTGGAAAATACTTTACTTATTAAATTGTCTCGACTCTTTGGTAACAAATCTAAAATTATCGAAAATTATCAAAAATTCAAAAATCCGATTTTCTTAAAATATAACATTTTTTCTTCTCTTTTACGGGATTTAGCTTCATTATTTTTGTGCTTTTGGAAAATACTTTACTTATTAAATTGTCTCGACTCTTTGGTAAAAAATCTAAAATTATCAAAAATTCGAAAAAATTCAAAAATACGATTTTCTTAAAATTCAACATTTTTTCTTTTTTTTTATGGGATTTAGCTTCATTATTTTTGTGCTTTTGGAAAATACTTTACTTATTAAATTGTCTCGACTCTTTGGAAAAAAATAAAAAATTATTAAAAATTATCAAAAATCCGAAAAATTGAATTTATTAAAATTCAACATTTTGTTTCTCTTTTATACCATTTAGCTTTATTATTATTTGAATTTTTATTCAAGAGAAAAAATGGAAAACTGAAAAAATTTAGAATTTTTTAAAAATTACAGGCCTTTTCCATGATTTCCCTGATTTCCAGAAGCCTTTTAAAAATTCCATACCATTTCCATGATTTCCATGATTTCCAGATTCTGTAGGAACCCTGCTTTTGTCTGACTTTCTTCTAAATTATCGAATTCAGTGATTTCTGGGGTGAATTTGGTTAAGTTGTAAAATGATTAATTTCTATTTGAATTCTTTTTTTTGAATGTAGAAAATTTGATGTTAATTTAATTCTTTTTTCGTTATGCACGGCAAAAAATATTTAGCTGGATGAACTACAGATTTCACTTTAGTAGCGAAATTATTTAGTGCTTCAATTAATACTTTCGTTATTCTAGAGAAACTTATCGCTATTTCAAGTAAAACTTTTTTCAGTGTGTAATAATTATTATTTCTTTAAAAAGTATTTAATTTAAAATGGCTTTATAAAATAAGCAATGCAACATATGACCCAGATACTAATTGTAATTGTTCTAGCCATAGTTTAAGTCTAGTAATGTAAATTCTATTTAAATTGAGACCATTGAGTGAAATTATTTGAATTTTAGTTAGTTTAATCTCTTTGTTAGGTTATAATAATTATTTCTTTAAAATTTTTTAAATTGTTTAAAATAAGCAGCCCCATACAACATTCCCGCGCGCTTGCGCGCGGATAGTTTGGCTAGTTATTTTAATAAATTTTGTCGACAAAATTCAATAGAATTTTAATAAATTTTCTCAACGAAATTCAATTATTTTTTAAACTGTAATAAAATTCCTTGAAAGAATTCAATTACAATTTCAGAAATTTTGATAAAATTCTTTACAAGAATTCAATTATTCTTAGTCCAAATTTAATTAAATTCCTCAAAAGTATTTAAATTTTCTTCGAAACAATAAACTTTGCATTTTTACAAATTATTAAATATTTAGATTCCTTATTAGAATTTCATTATTTTCAATACATTTTTAATTAAATTTAAAAAATTTCTTTTTTAATTTATTTAAAAAAATTTTAATGAAATTGTTAGAAATAATCTAATTATTTTCAAGAATTGTATTGAAATTTGTCGCAAGAATTAAATTATTTTCATAAGTATAACATTCTTTGGAGGAATTTAATTATTTTTAAAAAAATTTTAATATAATTTTGTTATAGAGTCTAATTATTTTTATACACTTTAATAAAATTCCTTGAAAAAATTCAATTATTTACAAAAATTTTGATAAAATTCTTTAGAAGAATTCAATTCTTTTCGGTAAAAATTTAATTCAATTCCTCAAAATAAAAAAAAAAGTGAAACAATAAAATTTGCATTTTTACAAATTATTAAAAATTTTGATTTCTTATTAAAATTTCATTATTTTCAATACATTTTTAATTAAATTTAAAAGATTTCTTTTTTTAATTTATTTTAAAAAAATTTAATGAAATTCTTGGAAATAATCCAATTATTTTGAAGAATTTTATTTTAAAATTTATCGCAAGAATTTAATTATTTTCATAATTATAACATTCTTTGAAGAAATTTAATTGTTTTTAATATAATTTTGTTATAGAATCTAATTATTTTTAAACACTTTAATAAAATTCCTTGAAAAAATTCAAATATTTCCAAAAATTTTGATAAAATTCTTTAGAAGAATTCAATTAGTAACTGTAGTATAATTTTAATTAAATTCCTTGAAAGAATTTATTATATTCTAAAGTTTTTAATAGTTTTCATAAATTATAATAAAGTTTTATGTAAATAATAAATCTGAATTAGTAAAAATTTAAATTTATTAGAACAAAAGTGATGAAAATATTTTCATAAATTACATAATTACTTTCATAAATAACTAAAATTAATTAAAATTTAAGGGATAATTTTACTTAAAAATTCCAAAATAATTGAATTTTATATGAGTTGCGTTTACAACTTTTATAAATAATTGAATTTTAAGACGTTTAAAATTTAAATTTTGAATTGAAATAATTGAATTAAAATGTTTGATTTGAAAATTTTGAAGAAGTGTGTAGTTTTGGGGAAATTTTTATGTAATTTTTTTTCTTGAAAGTTAAGTTTATGATATTTAATCGAAACGATTAATTATTATTAAAAAATAATTGATTTAGAGAAGAAGATTAGTTAAAATTTCTAGAAAATAATTGAATTTCAAAATCTAATTTAAATCAATTTTAAAATGAATCAAAATATTCTTTAGAGTCAGGGAAAAAGTCAAAATTTTGTCTGGAAATTATGGGAATAACAAAATGAAATTTTGTACGTGACGTAAAATTATTGTAATAAAATTTTAATTTGAAGAAGAAATAAATTTCATTTATTTGAAGATTCAGAACTTTAGGAACATAAAATAAATAATTTCATTTTTAATAAAACGATTAAATTTAATGTTTTTTTGCAGTGTATCCAACTTTTGGAAAGTCGACTAAGAGAAATGTGGTTACGAAGTGAAACATTGGCCGAAATGTTGCTGACTGTAGATCCGTATGACATAAACGTAAATAATCTAACAAATTCTTTGGATATGGATGCTGCGGACTTGCCACTGTTGCTCGCTGTAGCGACAACACATTCTCCACAAATTACGCAAAAGTTCGGCCTCACTTTAGCTTAAATGCCAAAAGCGTTCGATTACTACCACTTTTTAAAGTCTCATTTAAACAATCTCAAAGAGAGTCATCAAAAAACTTATTATTGACGTCAAAGATTATTTTCTTCTTTCTTATTTTTAGTATCGTGATGATGCTCTAAATTACAATTTATTTTTGTGTGAATTGAATATGACAAAATCGAAAGTGGTAGTTGTATTTATTATTTCTACGTCATTATTTATTTATAACTGTAATACCGGAAACGTGTAAATGTGAACGTTTATTGTCCTTTATTTCAGTTAAGTCATTTGCAATATACTATTTATAATTTAGAAATATAATTTATAAATAGTATTTAATAATACTATTTATAGTTCTCGGTGACTAAAGTTTAATACTCGGTTATAATGTAATTTTTGACAAGTTACATTCTTTTTTTTTTTAAATAATTGTAGTGCATGGTGAAAACTTAAAAATTTGTTGTTTGTTGTTAATTTATTCTTTTTCGAGAACTATTGAGAGAGTTCATTTTCTAAATTATTCGGAATTAGGTGTTTAAGTGTCTATTTTTACGTTTATGTACATATTGTATTATAAGTCTTCAGAATGAAGAATATTTGTTCATAGAAAGTGTAATTGTGTGTGAGAGTTCATTGTAATACTGTGTTTTTTACATATCATTCGAAAAAAACAATCGTTGTAAACTATTTTTCAAAACAATAAAATTTTTCTACAGATAATTATCATTTTTTACGAAGTTAAAGTCCACAACGCTGATCAATGAAAAGAATTTGTGTAAAGAGTTCGAATATTGTTTTTAATAAATAGACAATTATTTATTGTTAATTAAAAAATAAATATAAAATCTTCCGTTTGTTCACGTTGTGAATTTCAAGTTCGTAATTATTTTTAACTATGTATTTATAATTTTAAGAAAATTTTTAAAGATTTAGTCTACTCTATCATTAATTATTATTCAAAAATGAAGTTAAAAATGTTATTAAAATTGTAATTCTTCAGACTTTGATAAAAAATGACTGAAAATGAAATTTTATATTTGGCAAATTTAACTTTAAACTTTCGATTGTCTACTGTTTTTAGCTACCGGTTTTCTGTCACAATATTTGTCAAAATTTTTAGATTTTTAATTCAATTTTCCTTTTCAGTTCTAATTCTATTCTTTTTTCAAAATCATGCAGATTTGTCCAGCGGAACCGTGAGTAAACTTTATTCCTTAATTAAATTATTTGTCAAGGTTAATTTTTACTGTCACATTCGATTTAAATTTTAATTTCCTTCCTCCTCTAATAATTAACTTTTTAGTAAATTATTAATTTTTGTCTTTGTTTTTACAGTCTCAAACCCGAGAGGCCACCGTCAATTATAGAAGCAAGAAATAAAATTCGGGTAAGAATAAATTCTCAATTGCAGTTATTTTCGTATCGATTAAGAAAATTTTTTTATCTGCTAATTTTTTTTAATAATTTATGTTTTCTAATTTAACTTTTTTTTTAGTTGGGACACGAGTCTGGTTGTAATTGTTGTTGCTGCTGTTCTCCAGAGCCAAAATGTTTGGTAAGTCAAATTATTTTAAAAGTCTTTAAAATCAATTCAACGAAAATTTATATTCTTTATTTTTTTACAGGAATACGTTCAACCGGAACCTGCAAAATCCTTCGCTCCAGTCAGGGTGAGACATTTTTTTTAGACTATATACAGAATTACTGTCTTGGAAATTTTTAATTTCACGAATTCGACAACTGAATAATTTCTTTTCTAATAAAATTATCGAAATAAAAAATTTTTAGTACTATTGGAAACCAAACACTGCAATGGAAGACAATACAACCTACAAATTATCATTTTGGGATGGTCCAGCATCTCGAGCAGTACCTTATAGTCCTGAAGATTGTTTAACGATCGGAGATGGACCATTGTCTGACGAAACAACTCACAAGGTAAATAATTAAAAAAAGTGGACAAGATTTATCTCAATTTTAAATCAAATGAGGATTTTTATACAAATTTTTAATTATTTCCAGTATTTTCCTAATTATTTTTAATAATTTCCGAATTATTTTCAATAATTTTCTAATTTTTGCCAATAATTTCCTAATTATTTTCAATGATTCTGCAGTTAAGCTATCTCGGAAATTGGTGCGTTCGACCAGAACCCAAAATTACGCCATGTGACAAAGAATTATTTAAGAGAGGACCAATACAAGATGTGACTACTCAAAAACATGATTTCACCTGGAAATCGACACCAAAAATTACGTCGATAAAAGAAAGAAACAATTTGTATTCTCCTTGTGTGTCAATGTCAGGTAAACAAAATTAAATTCCACAAATGAATCAAAAAAATCAGTATAATTCAAATTTTTCCTCATTCAATTAAAAGAAGGGAAATAAAATTCGAAAATTTTCTTTACAGACGACACGACGTACAAATTAAGTTACTATCCTTCCAATTGTCGCGAACCTGTTCAGTCCTTCAAGCCAATTGAAAAGTACGAAAAATCTGATGTACCACTTGATGGTTGCACCACTTACAAATTAAGTTACTGGCCCAATCAAGTGCCAGTGAAGGTATTTATTGACAATTATTTAAATAAGATTGAAAATTAATTAACAAATAATTTTAAAAATTATCAATTAATTTTTAAAATTATCAAATAACTTTTAAAAAACTAATTAATTGGTAAATAACTTTGAAAATTATCAAATAATTGAAAAAACGAATTAATTGTCAAATAACTTTGAAAATTAAGCCCCAAATGTCTAATCGAGTCTCAAATTTCTAAAAAATGAATAATTTCACAGGAGGAGCAACCGTGGAACTTAAAAAGACAATATCATCCACCAGTAACGCCTTTGGACGATTGTACAACGTACAAATTGAGTTATTGGCCGAATTGTGAAAAACCTCGAAAACCATTTACAATGAAGAATGCGAAAAATTTATTTAATGCCTCCTGTTGTTTTGACGACAACACAACTTACAAATTAAGTTTCTTTGGATGCGGTGGAGACAAAGCGGATCTGATAAAGCAACCGGAAAACATTATTTTCTCACGTTGCCCACTCTCCCTTGACACCACAAACAGAGTATATTCTTAAATTTTATCTTCTATGTTTAATTCTCTAATTGCTAATTTACATTTTTACGAATTTTCTTCATTCACACATTTTTTTATTTATTTAATTCTGTTATTCAATTAAAGTTAGAAAATTTATAAATAATTGAATTTACAAGTCTACTTTTTAAATTCAGTGAAGTTCAGAACGTTTATAATCAACGATTTTATTCTCCACAAGTTTTAAACGTTCAAATGAAGAAAATATTCTCCACTACAATAATTTTTATTAATTATTCATTGTAATAAAAATGAAAACCGTAACTTAACATTTAAAAACTTGACAATTAATTTTTTTGATATAATCAATGATTCAGTGATCAAAAAATTTTCATTTCATTACAATTTTGAACGAAATTTATCTGCTTCCTTTTTTTCGAAATTACTATCTAAAGAAGAAAAATAATTAAAATTAAACATTTACTTAGTTAATAATTAATTATTTTTAGTATACTAAATAAATTGATTGTAGAAATAAACAAATTAAAAGAATAAAAGGAATATTGTCAGTTGAACGTTCGAAATTTTAGGAACATAATATTTTTTTGAACGTTCAAATGAATGAAATATTTTTAAAACAATTTTTTATTTCAAAATATTTTCAAAAATGACTGATTGTAATAAAAATTATTCTGAAATTTAACATTTAGAAACTTTATAATAAATTTTGTTTGGATACATGACGCAAAATTGTCATAAAATTTTTAAATTGAAGAAGAAACAAATTTTCTTCATTTTTGAACGTTTAGAACTTTTTGGAATATAATTTAGAAGAAAAAATAGATTTTTCAAAGTTAATTATTTACAAAAATCTTAATCAAATCCTTCGCAAGAATTCAATTATTTTTACAAGTAATAACATTTCTCAAAAAAATTTAATTATTTAAAAAAAATATAATAAAATTCGTTGCAATAATTCAATTATTTTCATAAATAATAAATCGATTATTCGGTAATTCATTTTTAAATCAATTTTTATTAAAAAAAATTCTAGAAGAATTCAATTATTTAAATTAAAAAATAAATAATTTATTGAATAATTCAATGTTTGTTAAAATTGAATTCTCATAAAAAATTTTATCAGCAAATTTTTAAAAATATTTTAAAAATATTTATATTTAAAAATATTGTATCAAAAATAATTAAAATCGTGCGATCAGTTTTATTATTTATGAAAATAATTAAAATTATTTTAAATTAATCGAATTTCGCAGAAGAATTTTATTATTTATAAAGATACTTGAAATTTTAACAAGAATTTTTTTTTAATTTTTCAACAATAATTGAATTTCTGCGAAGAATTTTATTACTATTGAAAATAATTTAATTCTTCCAACGAATTTTATTCAAGTTTTTAAAAATAAATGAATTTCTGTGAAGAATTTTATTATTTATATAAATAATTGAATTCTTGCAACGAATTTTATTCAAGTTTATAAAAATAATTGAATTTCGGTGAAGAATTTTATTATTTATAAAAATAATTGAATTCTTGAAAAGAACTTTGTTAAATTTTTTTAAATAATTGAATTCTTGCGACGAATTTTATAAAAATCTTTTTAAATAATTGATATTTTTTGAAAAATTCTATGAAATTTTGTATTTTAAATAATTGAATTCCTGTGAAAATTTTATAACTTTTGAAAATAATTGAATTTCTGGAATCATTTGTAACTTTTCCAAAATTCAATTTTTTTTTTTAGTATTTTCAACTAAAATTCTACTATCAATCTAGTATTTATGAAAATTGTAAAAATTATTCATTAAATAATTTATAAGTCATAATTTTATGATAGTTCTTGAAAAATTAAGTTATTTAAAAAGAAATTATTGTCAGAAATAGAAAAAATTGAAGGTTTTATATTAAAATTCGTGTTAACTTCATAGTTAACAAGGCGAACAAAAAAAAAAAACATTAAAATTCAGTTTTCTCATGAATTTTAAGAATTCTATTTTTCCACTACTTTTACTAAAAATTTTTGACTTTTTCCTGATTTCCCTGACAAATTTTAGTTTCCCTGACTTTTCCCTGAATTCCCTGACCAATTTTACTTTTCCTGACTTTTTCCTGAATTCCCTGACCTGTGGCAACTCTGACTATATTAGCGAGACTTTTAGATGTTTCAGTTAAAACTTTCGCTATTCTATAGAGAAAATTGTCGCTGTTGAAGAGGAAATATTTTTTCCGTGCAGAAAAAAATTTAAAGCAAAAAATGTATTATTTTCCTGTAGGAATAAAAATTTTTCTCAATCGTTGTGAACTTTAGCTACTTCTAAATTATACCGTCTCTATAATAAAATAAATAAGAATCAATATTTCCGAACATAATTATTACTTAACGACAGGCATTAAATACGTAAAAATTGTATAAAAGTGCTTCGTCTGAAACGAAGTCTTAAAAAACGGAAATTAAAACTTTTTTGTTATTTTCCGTTTTTTCTCTTTTAGGCATTAATCTACATAAAATATAAAATTACACACGATTCGTCTAAAAATGCTTCGTCTAACAAAAAAAAATAATAAAATTCATTATTTTCATTCTTTCTTTTTTTCCTATTTAGTTGAGCTACTTAGGGAATTGGTGCGTCAAACCGGAAGCACCAGTTGTGCCATGTCGACGAGATTTGCTTGGTAAAGGACCATTGCAGGACGTAACGACACAAAAACACGATTACACGTGGAAATGCAATGTTCCCGGCTTTGGTTTTCGACCCGAGGACAATCTCACATTCTCACCACTACCACTCGAGTGTAAGTGTTTGCATTGCAATGAATATAAAAATCCCGAGGATTAACCAGCATAAGATAAATATATGATTTACATACATAATATAGAAGTAGAAGAAATAGAAGAAAAAGAAGAAGAAAATTGAGATTGTTTTTCTCCTTGGCTCACGATTTCCCGCAATAGGGCAATTAAAATAACTTTTTACTATTATAGCCATTTCGCGGCTAAAAGATCATTGCCTCCGGATTACTCACTTTTACATTGCTCAGAATTTATACACTCTTTAATACTCCGATCATTAACCCACATAAGAAGAAGATATGTAATTCGAAAATTTTATTATTAAGATAAATGACTCTCTTGAGTAATCCTTGTCCAGATAAAGAAAATAATTTTTTCCAAATGTTAAAAATAATCCTAAATGACTGAATCACGAATGCTTTTAAATAAATAAAATAAATATTCATTTTAATAAGCTAATCTAATTATTAAAAAAATCGAAAAAATGAAGAGACGCGCATTAGCAAAGATTTTGCAAAAAAAAAAAATTAACAATTTATAATAATAGTTATTATAATATTAAGAAAAAGATATATATTTAAATAGATTCCCACAGAATTCTTTATACGCAATTGTTGCGAAAATTCTAACGCTCCCACATGACATTGTTTATCACGGCGGTGCATTCAAGTTTTGCCTAATTATTCATCGCGCATCAATCCTTTTCTCTTTCAAAATACACAATAAAAATGAGAAATTCATCCTTCTTGACAACAAATATGAATTAATCATTTCCTTTCCTTTGTGGTGCTTTTTTCTTTGATCTTTTTTTTCTATATGGCATTTAATTTTTTATCAATAGTCGCGATCAACGCGTTATTGCAATAATACTTCTCGGAAATCATCATTTCAAGTGGGTGTTTAATTTGTCTCCTCAACAGATACATATTACAAAAAATGAAAAAAAAGAAAATAAAAACTTTATGAATAATTTAATTTCATGAATTTTTATCACGAGTTATTATTTTAATAATGTATATTTTATTTATTGCAGGTTGCACAACAAATAGACTCTCATATATTCCGAATAATTTCAAGTCTTTGGAATCGAACGTTTCTTTTAAACCTATACGAGCATATCAACCGTGCGATGTACCATTCAGTGCTGAGACGACAATGCGTCTCAGTTATCAACCATTAGAACCTGCTGACAAAGTGGATATGCCGTGGTCTGGTAAAAATTCTTATCAAAAACCTACGACACCTTTGGAAGAAAATACAACGTATAATTTAAGGTACTGAAGCAAAATTGCTGGTAATTTGTAATATTTTTATTTGATTGATAAGACAATCGAATTGCACTGATAGAAATTACTGAAAATTTTCTATTATTGTAAATTATGAATTTACTATTTATTAATTTACCGATTTACTATTTACAGGCCTCGGATCGACTTTAAAGGCGTTAAAAAAGTCACTTTACTCGATTGAAGATTCAAAAAAAGTCGAAAAAATCGTTTATTTTTGTATTGTCACAAAAATTTTATTTTCTCAATTTTTTCTAAGGATATCAAATTGAGAGATACATTTATTGTCTCAATTTGATATCCTTAGAAAAACTATGTTGCTTTTCTTTGAGCTTTCACTAATTTCTAAATTCAATTATTCAAAACTTCAATAATTTTGTTTAAAAGAAAAGAATTTAAATACTTCTTTTCATTTTTCCAAAGGAATTTAAATAATTTCAAAAATTTCAACTTCAATTATTTTTAATAATTTTCCGAAAGTTTTTCGAGAATTCAATAATTATTTAAATACAAAAAATCCATTTTCTATAATAATTGCAACTGCAAGGCTTCAAGATTTCTCTTTATAAAGTTAATAAGCTGAATTATTGAATATTGAAAATATTCAAACAAAGATATGAAAATAATTAAATTTTAAAAAATTATAATAAAACAATTCTTAAAATTTTTTTTTTTTTAATATTTTAAAACAATTTTTGAATGATAATTTATTTTTAAATAATCATACATATAAAAAATTTCCAAATAATTTAAATTTAGGAAAATTTCTTGACAATAATTGAAATTTTTTAAATAATTTTTGGAAAATATTAAAAAATATAATCAAGTTTTTGGTAAATTTCAATTGCAAATATGAAAATACATGATTTTTCCAAAATTTGAATCATAAAAGTACATTTTTTTTAAAGTTTAATTTCCACTTTTTCTACATGATTATAATGTTATTTTTCAAAAATAATGGAATTTCTTGAATGAATTGTTGGACAATTTATAAAACTAATCTGTTTTTTGATGAATTTTAATTAAAAATTTTGAAAATAATTATTTTTTTGTTCAAAATTTCAATAATAATTCGAAAAAATTAGATATTTAAAAAAATTTCCATGTAATTATTTTTAGTACATATTTTTAATTTTTGGAAATATGCAATTGAAAATATTGAATAAGAATCGAATTTGAAAAAATTTTGAAAATATTTAAAGAATTGTATTTGAAAAAATTGAAATAAAAAAATTCTAAGAATTAGTTTTTTGAAATAATTTCTAGTTTTTTCAAAACTAATTTTCAATTTGTTTTTTCATTATAATTTTTAAGAATTCAACTATTTTAGAAATTTGCAATTAAAATTTTTCAATAATTGATTTCCAAAAATTTGAATTACATATACACTTCAAAAAAATCAATTATTCTTTTAATAAAATTTTACAAAATTTCATTTATTTAAAAACTTTTTAAATATATATTTTCAAAATTTAATTATAATAAAGAAAAATTAATCAAAAATAAATCTAGAAATATTTGACTACAGTTATTTTTTATACTATAAAATTCCAAGTAATTTTCATTTAATACCCAAAGGCAGTATTTTGTTATTGCAATATTTGGAACAAAAGTCGAAAAAGTCACATTTTTTAAAAATAAATCGAAAAAAAGTCACCTTTTCAAAAACAGTCGAAAAATCGAATTTTCCGAGGTCTGTATTTATTAATTTACTATTTTTAAAGTTTAAAATTTTATTTTACAGCTACATTCCGCCAGGAAAATTTGTCCCTCGTTCTCCCTCTTCACCGCCATGCCCTCAGCAAAATTCTTGTGAAAGTTAGTGAAAAAATTTTCTAAGAGTAAAAATTCAATAAGAAAATTAAGTCTGAATATTTGATATATTATAATTAAAAATAATATATCTACGATCAAATGTGTTTCTAAAGTTTTGAATCTCCTTCAAATGAACGACAAGATTATATTGTTACTTTATTTAATTTGTATATTTTATTAAAAAAATTATTTTCTATAATAGAAAAAAATTAACTCTAAACTAAATAAAAATTTATAATAATTTATATTATTTTCCATATCATTTAGTCAATTTTCAAACATATTTAAATAGACAAGAATTCTCGTTCTATTTGAACGTCCAGAACTTTAGGAAAATCAATACGTAAATTTATATTACAATTAAATTATTTTTCAGACCAAAATACTCCAACATGTTTTCCGTCACCGTGTTGCCCTTGCATTGGTAAGTTATTTATAAATAAAAAATTCTAAATTAGTTTTTAATTATATTTCTGTTAATTTGTTTCTAAATTACAAAAACGAAACTTTCAAACTTATTATTTTTAATCTTAGGTATTTTTATTTTTACCTTTTATTTCTAATTAAAAAGAAAATTAAATTTTCCCTATCATTGCAATGATTTATTGAGAATTGAAAATTTATTTTACAGCTTGTGGATCGAATTGAAAAACACGAAATCAACTGCTCCGGAGAAGAGATAAATAATCTATTGTATATATTGTATAAATGAAAGAAATAAAATTTTTGTTATGAAACATTTAAAACAAAGTTTTCTAATTTCAAAATGATTGAAAATAATTTTAATCAATCTAGGATGAGTTTAATATCATTTAATAAGAATCAAATGAGAATCTCTTGCTATTTCTTATTGTTCGTTTGTAATGCGATACGGTAATATTAAGTCCTTGTGTCATTTGAACGAATTTCCTGCCAAGTCGTGAGATTATTTCATACAAATTTCGTCTGTTATTTTATTAATAAAATTTTGTATTCAGAAAAAATGATTTTTTTTTTAAATAAAATTAAAAATTAAAAAATTTCTAAATTTTGTACTGTACGAAAATTACGATTTTTTTTAATAAGAAATTTTTGCTTATAAATTTACAAAAATTAGAAATTTATAATTATTATTATTATAATTTAATAATTTTTGTAAATTTCAAAAATTTCGTCAAGTAAAGATACATTTTCAATACTTTCAACTAATACTGTAGTGAACGATGCATATTTTAAAAGACTGAAATAACATATAATAAACATAAATACGGTTTGAGATATACCTACGAAACAACAATGCATAGGTAACGAAATAAAAGTTAGAACCCAAATCTTAGAGGTAGCAACTGGAAATTCTATTGAATATACGAAAGTAAATTTCTAAAGGTTCACTTATCCTTACATTCAAAAAGGATCAATTCACAGGTATATGAAAGTCTGCAAGGACTTCTAAATCATCCCAAATTGTAATAACTCTAATGATTTTACCGAAAGTACGTCATACTTTTATATCACTATTGTTCTATTCTTAAAAACCCATTATAAGGATATTGGAAACGTAAACTGACCATACATCCAAAACTTATTTTACCCCAAAGCAAATATTAACAAAACTTTTGGGAAAAAAATAACTAACACAAAAAAATTGAAATAAATAAATTTTCAAAAAAATTAAATTAAATTAATAACATATCGAATATTACTATAATAAAAAAATATATCATAAAAGATAAAACTAACCTCAAAAACTCGTGACCACGCAATTTTGCATTTTTTCAAACACTTTTTAAAACACCAACTATTATAAGAATTGAAAACTGCATAGAAAAAGTAGTTACCGTTAAAATAGACTTTATACAATTTTTGAAAATTATTGAAAATAATCCATAAAACATTATTGTTTAAATTCACTCAAACGATTTAAATTTTAAAAAGGTTGCGCACGCACTGAAACTTGAAACGTCAGGAATGTAGCATGACAATGGGGGGCCCGAGAATTAAAATTTCACTTTAACATTAAAGTTAATAATTATTAACAAAAATTTAGATGGTAAAAATTATTAAAAAATGGTTACATAATTTCTTCTGTTAAAATTGAACGTAAAATATTTAAACAAGTAGACTTTGATTAATTTTCAATGAAAGAGGAAGTAAAGGTGCTGCACTCTACATGCCTGAACTTTGAAGTGTATGAGGCTGACGCAGGTAAGGTTAGTTCTATTCCTGCAGTTGTTCCAAACGCATCAAACGTAGAGAAGCTTGACCACCGGTTGTAACGGTAAGTTTTTTGGAATTCTCTTAAAAGTAGCATCCTGTGTTATTAAAGTTATAAAATATAATATTATTGTATACTGTTGAAGCATCTAACTGTTTTTAAATATAGAATATATTCGTTATTCTTTCTCAACCCGTTTATCTCTAAAATTGACATTTTATAGGTTAGGTTTAAAATCGTTAAGTAGAATTGCAACATTTATTCGTTTCCACGGTTAAAATCTATAATATTTCGCTTCGTTTATTGTAATCCAATAATTCATAAACTTGATTTTATAATTTTTTCAAAGTTTTCTTTGTATTTGGTGAAAAATATGTGAGTTCTTTATATTTGCTTGGAAAAGTGTAAACAAGAAACCATAAAAGAGTCGAATTATCAGAAAATGGCGAGATTTCAGTGTAGTACGTGGAATTTCTTCATTTTTGCCGTAAATTTATTTTTCACGTTTTTTCAGTGAAAAATGTATTAATACATAAAGAAATATTGTTTGACTTTGAAAATTTTTCCTTTTTTGATCACTGGCCCTAAGCGTCGCGTCATTTATTAGGCATTGTTAGTGAAATATGTCATTATAATGAAAATTTGTTTTTTTTTCTTTTCAAGCATTTACGTCACAAAGAACACTTCAAATTTTTAACAAAATGCCGAAATCAGCAACCGAAAAAAGGAGGGGCGTTGGCAAAAAACGCGTTAAGGACCCAAACGCGCCAAAACGACCATTGTAAGTATCTCCAGATGTATCTATATAACTCCATTACTTTGTTGAAAATTCTCTCTCTTTATTGCGCATATCTTTCATTATTGTACATTCATTTTTTTAAGTGCATTTTATTTCCATTTTTATTGATAATTTATCAGTTATTATTATGGAATGCTGTTAGGCTTGTGTAGTGAATATGCAACCCGTCATACTTATTTCTATAGGAAAAGCGTTGTCTGTTGTGTAGATTGCATACTTCCGGTTGGTTTATGGCGGGAAAGATTTTGTTAGTCGGGTAGTATTCATTCCACACAAAAAACTTTGCTTTCTTATATTTTCCATCTTTTTTTTTTCTTTGTTCGCGTTTTTTTTTTTTTTTTTTTTTGGAATTTCAGTTATTTTATTCGTGAATCATAGTGAAGAAGTAATTTTATTTTATTTTAAGGAATAAAATAATTATATTGTACTTAATTTAAATTGATTTTTTGTTTTAATTAAAATTTAATTTAAACACAGTATTTAATTTTTTCTAATTTGTTTGATAATTTTTGTGTAACTAACTGTTGTGTTTTATTATTCAATTTACGTTCAACTAAATGTTTATCTAATTTTACATTTGTTTATTATTATAGATAAGATTAATTTATTGCATTGGAATTAAACAATTTTATTTAATTACTTTTTAACTAAGTATTTGTTATTGTTGATGAAATAAAAATTTTTTTAAACAATAAAATTTTTATTCATTAAATAAAAATTTTGTTTTGAATTAAATAGAAACTGTTAATTTTTATTTAATAAAAATGAAAAAAAGAATTAAGAATTTCAATTTTATTTAATAAAGATGAAGAATAAAATTTTTTTATTTAAATAAATTTTTAATGATTTAAAAAAAAAAATTTTATTGATTAAATAAAAATTCTTTTTTTTAATTAAATAGATATTTTCAAGTTTAATTAATAGAAATAAAGAATAAAATTTTTATTGATTAAACAAAAATTATATTTTTGAATTAAATAAAAAATTTCAATTTTATTTAATAAAGATAAAAAATAATAATAATAAATTTTTAATGATTAAATAAATTTTTTATAAAATTTCGTTTTGACTTAAATAGAAAATTGCAATTTTATTTAGTAAAGACAAAGAATAAAATTTTTATTTTTTAAATAAATTTTCTTTTTATTAAATAAAAATTTTATTTTTAAAATAAATTTTTAATGATTAAATAAAATTTTTATAAAACTTTCGTTTAGAATTAAATAGAAGATTTTAATTTTATTTCATAAAAATTGTTGTAAATCATTTAATAATTTAAAATTAATAATTCATGAAATATAAAGTATAATTGTTTTCTTATCTCAACTGAAGCTGAAATATCTATTCGATTAATTTTAAATTCAAATCGATTTTATTTTAAGCTAAATTTAATTTTTGAACTTTTGCGTATTTGAATTATTTTTATTTAAATTTAATTTAATTTTGTATGTTATATTTAAATTTTCTATCATGAACGTTCTAATACAGACATTAAGAATTCTAAAAAAATTTTTAATTTAAAGTTTTTTTTGTATAAATTTCTAAACGAAAACAAATTTTTTTTTTAAGGTCGGCATTCTTTTGGTTCTGCAAAGATGAGCGTGCGGAAGTAAAGTCAAAAAATCCCTCATATACAGTAGGAGATATTGCAAAAGCCTTAGGCAAAAAATGGGCAGATTGCAGTGCTGAAGATAAATCCAAATACGCTGAGATGGCAGAACAAGATAAAGATCGATATGACAAGGTAAATTTTCACGCTTGAAATGATAATCATCAAACAATTTATTATCCCTTTTTTTTTGCCGATAAATATAAAACTAAAAAAAAAAAATGTTCTCTCTTTTTATTTTCCAGGAAATGTTTAACTACAGAAAAGGACAGGAGGGTTCAGAAAATGAAGGAGACTAAATAAAGGATAACTGAGGATGGCAAACGCGCGTCAAAATCTCTTCTATCACTCCATGTTTTAGATCCCGAAGCACACCTCATCAACTGTACATACCATTTGTCTTATTGTTAGCGTAAACGCACTTGCAGTTACATCACTAGTTCAAGTAACGAAGTAACTAACCATAACTTACCGTTCATTTACAGTACAGTAACTAAGTAAAATAACTATTACTTTTAAAAAAGCTATTGTGTGTATGAGTGAATTGTGAGGCACGACTAGCATGAATGGATTTTGTATTTTTAACCTATTAATAGTAAAAAAAAAGAAAAAAAAAAAATGAATAATGTAAAATTGAGTAGAATATAAGGGATTCCTTGTACAGTTTGTTTGCCCAGATATTATAATTAGGGCATTGGTTTGCTTCGAGCGATTTTTATTCGGTGCGGATATCGCAACCGCGTACCTGATGTAAGTATTAGTCTATTAGGAAAATGTCTGGCGCTGCGTTTCTCCTTCGTTATTCTGTTCTATTTCTTTCCATTGTAAGGCCTTGATCTCGAATCTTTAGGCTTGAGATGGTACGTTTTTGATTTAGTTCAGTATATATTTTTTAATTATCCTTTTTGCGATTTTAAGTGATTGGCTTGAAGTAAATTCAAATTGTAATTAGGAAAAAAAAAAAAATAATAATTAACAACAAATCTCGAAATTTTTGTTTATGAGATTTTGCGTATATGACTATAATAATGATAGTTTTCGTGATTTTCTTTTTTTCATTAATTTGGAAGGAAAAAAAAACAAAGAATTGTAAAATCGCGATTTTTCAAGTCAATGAAAGGATTGTTAAGGAAATTTTTGAAAAAATTTTACTTCGGGGATAAATGAATTTGTGTTTATAGAATTAACTCCTCGCCATTCTCTGTCTCTTTATTAGTAGTTTTTTTGTCCAATAAAAGGTAACTTATCTGTATAACAAAATTCAATCAGTTTTTTATTTCTTTTTCGACCTTGGTAATTAAAAAACAAATCAATGGATTTGAAAAAAGTAGGTCACAGAATTTATTTGTCGTTGGTCATTTGGAATCATCCAAATGTTACGCAAAGACAAGAACAAACCGGTTGGGCAATGATCGAAAAGTGCATCAGAAGAAAACGGTCCATGTTTATAAAAACGCCTACACAGGAGAATCATCTGTGTAACGAAAGTGTCAGCAGATCAAACTCCTTGACTTCCATTCCTTCTTGCGATTGTGAATTTACCTGGCTTCTAGATTCCATGAATGTTTGCGGAGGCCGTGTGAAAGTAATTGCAGCTTCCTCACATTTCGTTTTTACAACATTATGAAATTTAATTAGATTCGACTTGATTAAGGTCACTGATCTTTTTGTTTTCCTATTTTAACGACCTTTTTATCTATTATATATTTTTATTTTATTCCCCTAAGAAAATTAGTAATGCCTACTTTGATTGTTTTCCAAGAAGACGAAAATTCAACAGACGTAGAAAAATTATAGACCTAAAATGTAATTATTGGAAAAAAATAGAGTTTTGCTGACGTCGGGAGATATTGAAGAAATCGAACTTGAAAGGTCATGCGTTCAAAAATAATGTCGGTAATCAATGAAATTCGAGCGCGGAAGAAAACGAATTTTACATCATTCAGGTCTCACGACCGCGTGCCTGACCTTTCTTTGCAAGAACGAAAGTTCGCCAATGTTTCTTATCTCATTTTGCCTTCTAAATACAATTATAAGATCATTTCTCGTATTTATAAAATCAAATTTTCAAATGTGTGCCATATTTTTCAGCAAATAAAAGCAGAACGAATATTTCAATTTCCAGTGTGTCGAATTCAAAAACTAAAGTGGAACAAGAATTTCAAATTCATAATCACGTAAGAGTATTTTTTTCTATACTTATATTGTTTCGAAAGATCTTGATGTATGAAAATTAGTTGGCAAAAATTTACATTTAAAATTATTGTTCTGATAAATTTTAGGTCCAGTGGGTGTTTGTGTAATATATGTGGAAGATTGGTAAAAAAAAAAAGAAGAGAAGCAGTTGGGTAAATTGGATCTGATACAACTTGGATTGGTGGCACGAGCAGTAGATGAGGGAAAGGTATAATTTGAACTCTCTAAACAAAATCAGAGCCAATATGATGATCGATGCTACCAACGGCAACCAAGGAAGATGTGTAATGATGTTCCTTTATGAAAGAGCACACGCACACGTGTAATCCATATAAAACAGCGTTCATAATTCGCGAATAGTTGAGAAGGGGTAAAGTGAGAGTCAGTATAAAAGGCCAATTCTTTCCCTTACCTAGAACACAGTCGATTGTAAACTCATCTCTTCGTTTTGCGTTTTGCATCTACTTTTTTTTGCAGTACCGGTACTGTACTGTATATATTTTTTTTTTGTGTTGAGACTTTGTTTCAATTTAAAGGATACAGAATGAGGGCTATGGTAAGTAAAATTTTTATTTTTCATTTCTTATTGAGGGATTTTTTTTCCTTTTTAAAATTAAAAATCATAAACGAATTTTTCTTTTCCAAAATCCGTGAAATTATTTTGGAAATTTATTAAAAAATATAAACAAAATTACAATTTTTTGAAAATTTTAATTTTTGAATAAAAAATTTTTTGCTTTTTAAAATTAAAAATCATTCCCGAATAATTTATTAATGATTTTGCTTTTTCAAGCTGGAAAGTTATTTTGAAAATCTATTAAAAAATATGAACAAAATTACAATTTTTCAAAAATGTTTTTAAAATTTTAATTTTTTAATTTTTTGCTTTTTAAAATTAAAATTGAAAATCATCTCCAAATAAATTATTAACGAATTTTACTCATTTAAGCTGTAAAATTATATAACATTGTTTTTTATTTAAAAAATTAAAATTTTTTGTTTTCGAAAAAAAATTAAAAATCTTTTCCAAATAAATTATTAGTCAATTTTACTTTTTTAGACTGTAGAATTATTTTCGAAATTTAATTAAAATGTTAAAACAAAATTAAAATTTTTTGAAAATTTTAATTTACATTTTTAGATTTTTGTTTTTGATAATAAAAATTAAAAATCATCCCTGAATAAATTCTTAACGAAATTTACTTTTCAAGGTGTAAAATTATTTTGAAAACTTATAGGAAAAATTGCAATTTTTTAATTCTTAAATTTTTAATTTTTTGCTTTTCAAAATGCTTCAAAAAACGGGCACTGCCCGTTTATATGTATAAATAAATTTAATAAATAATAATTACTAACAATAAAAAAAATTGTGTTGTTGAACATTATTTCCATTTAAAAATTTTTCAATTTAATTTAAACCAGAATTTGATTTAAAAATTAAAATTTCATGTAGTATTTAAATTTTATTTAGAATTAAAATTTAATTTTAAATCTATTTTACATATGAGTTTTTAATCTTTCTTTTTCAAAATTTTAAATTACAACGAGAAAAATAAAAATTTCTTCTAAATTAGTAAACTAAGTTATTAATTTTTTCCCGATAGAACAATTTTAATTAGTTTATTGATAGAAAAAGTTTTTCGAAAGCCTAAAAAATTGAAACTTTATAATTAGAAAAATTGTTGAAAATTCAAAAGTATAAACATTTTTATATTATTATTAATTTAATTTACAGTAGATAATTTTTGTTTTTTATAAATAAATTTAAAAAATTATTATTAAATTTGAAAAATCGAAAAAATTTAGTTCAGGATTTTTATGTCAGTAGGTGTCGAGTATTGTTGCAAATTTATTTTTTAACATCACTTCTTTCTTCACTTTCTTCGATAGTGGGTGGAGATAAAAAAAAATTGAATCCATTGTAATGTTAATATTCCACTGGTCTGTCATTGAATGACTTTTACTCTACAGCGAAGTAAATTGAAGACATTGTATATTATTTATTATTTATTTCATATTTAAATGTCAATAAATACAATTAATAAAAAAATGAAGATAAAATTGATTTTTATTTATTTTTTAAACAAAAATTTATTATTTATTTATCTTTTAAATTTTACTTTCAATGTCAGATATTAAACTACCAAAATTTAATTTTTATTTGCTCTTCTAATATATTTATTAATAATTATATCAATATTATATTAACATAATATTTCCTTTTTGTAAAAAAATGCTTTTTTATGATATAAATAATTATTATTTTTACTTATTTACTTAATATTTATTTGATTTTATTAAATAAGTTAAAATAATATTAATTTAATATTAATTTAATTATTATTATATTTTTGTATCTGTATCTAATTTATTCGTTTATGAAACGTATAGTTGAATTCGAACCGCAGGGAAAGATTTGCCGAGATTGTAATTTTCAATTACGGAAATTTGTTTCTTATTTGATATTCAATGAATTAAAAAAACTAAATTTGTTGAAAAATACGAGCCATCGATTTACGGTTTATCAAAAAAAAAAAAAAAAAAAAATTCTTCAATCATAAGATGACAATCAATCTATTGTGTCTCAATCAAAATACTATTATATCGATTGTCATTTATCTATTCGTGCAACAAGAAAAAGTCAAGTTCTTTTCCTTACAACATTTTCACATTTCTAACAAACGAGACATTATTCACCTTGATTGTTTAATTTAGATTGTTCAATAATTTAAATAAAATTCAAAATTATTGTTTATTATTATTTATTAATTATGGTAAATAATTATTATAATAAATAATTATTAAAATTGAATTTTTAAATAATGTAATTATATAAAAATTAGAATATAATTATTTATTATTACTTGTAGATTATAATAAAAAAAATGCGATACTATGATAAATAATAATTATAATATTACAATAATAAATAATTATTACAATGAAAAAAGATATTTGATTTAAATAATCGATTACTTGTCTATTATCAAATAAATATTTATTTGAATCAAATAATTTTTATTCAAGTCAATTTAATTGTTGTATTTGATTGAATATTTTCAGTATTCGAAGCAAATGCCATTTAATTGATTTAAATAAAAATTATTCTATTGGAATAGTAGTTAAAAAATTTTTTACACGAATTGAAAATTTATTTGATCAAAAATTATTTGCTAATAGACAAGTAATCGGTTATTCGAATCAAATAAATTGTTTTCCAGTGCGTAAATTTAATTATTAAATAAGTGAATAAAAATAAAAATTCCGTTAGATATTAAAAAAAAAGGAAAAAAAAGAAAAAACCATTTTATGATATCAGATGTTGTGGATGTTGTAGAAGCAGATGAGATGAGATCGAAACGGGTGGAATGAGATGGGTTGGGATTGGGATGGGATATATGGAATGAGGAGGGTGGGTTAGCGGGTCAGGAGTTAAATGACCCAAGTTGGCATTTAGTTTTCACTTTCACCCAGGCAGGCCAAAGGAACGCCAAACCGAACCAGGAAGTTGGTCCATCTCAGCCTCCCCAGATTACACAATCATTATACTTTTATTTTCACTGATCCGTCAATCGTCTGATGACTAGACGCTATCCAGATGACTAGGTACTAGGATCTGATTTTGTAATCTAGAGCCTCTTACATATATTGTCTGTCTGCCTCTGCTGTTTATTGCTGACAACATGAAAAATCACATTCGACCCTTCGACATTTCCTTTTTCTCCCAGTTCATTTAAATCTCATTGCATAAAACAAATTCAGAACACAGTTTGCTTTCGTATACATAACGTATTATAAACTGGTTCAACAATTCCATTATGTCTCGCAATTAAGGAGCGAAAATTTTTATTTTTTAAATCAAAATAATTAGCCAGTGATATTTTAAACTAGTGGTAATTTTAATTATCCCATATTAATAATCGAGGTTGTAATTTTAATTTTATTTGGTTCAAATAATCGATTATTTATTATTTTGCTAGAAAAAATTTATTTTATTCCAATAATTGATTACTTCACTGAACATAATTTATTTGATTCAAATAATCGATTATTTCAATGAAAAATTTATCTTGCTAATTTTCATAATGCTTATGATCAACGATTTAAAAGAGGAAAATATTTTTCTATTTATAATAATAAAATATTATTTTTCGCAAAAGAATTCAATTATTTTTAAAAAAATTGATAAAATTCATCCAAAATTCAATTATTTTCATAAATAATAAAATTCCCACTGGAATTAAATTAATAATTAAAATAGTATTTTCCAAAAAATTTTCAAAAAAATCAATTATTTAACAAAATTTTTATACAATTCTTCACAATAATTCAATTGCTTTCACTAATAATAACATTTTTCATAAAAATTCACTTATTTAAAAAAAATTTTGATAAAATGTTACACAAGAATTCAATTATTTAAAAAAAATTTCCATTATATTTATTAGATATATTTCGAAAAAATTAATTATTTAAAACAATGTTTATAAAATTCTTATGAAGAATTCAATTATTTTCAAAAATAACAAAATTTTTCACAGAAATTCAATTCTTTTTAAACATTTTAATACAATTTTTTCATAATAATTCAATTATATTCGTAAACAATAAAATTGTTCTCAGGAATTCAATTATTTTTTAAAATTATAATAAAATTCTTAGCAACTATTCAATTATTTTCATAAATAATAAAATTTATCGCATGATTTCAATTATTTTTAAAACAATTTTACAAAAATTGCTCGAAAAATGTAATTATCTTTAAAAATTTAATTTCTGTTTCTCGAAAAAATCAATTATTTAAAAAAAAGTTTTTTTTAAAAATTTTTTGGAAGAATTCAATTATTTACAAAAATATTAGAATTTTTCACAGGAATTCAATCATTATTTTCAAATATTTTAATAAAATTGTTCGAAAGAAATAAATTATTTTAAATATAATTTTAATTAAAATTTTTAAAAATAATTCAATTATTCTTGTAGATTTTAATAAAATTCTTCCCAAGAATTCAATTATTTACATAAATAATTCTTGGAAAGAATTAAATTATGTCTAAAAATAGATAAATTATTTCCGAAATTTCAATTATTTTCAGGCATTTTAATAAAATTATTTGCAAAATTCATTTATTTTTATAAATAACAATATTCATCACAGGAATTCAATTATTTTTAACACTAATAAATTTCTTCTTGGAAATTCAATTATTTTAAAAAATCCTAATAAAATCGTTCGCAAGAAATCAATTATTTTCACGAATAATAAAAATTTCTCTGGAATTCAATTCAATTATTTAAATTAGAATTAAACGAGTTTTTTTGGTCGTCAAGTTTAATTTTTTGATAGCCTACTAACTATAAAAATAAACTGGCCTACAAATTATTTAAATTAATATCTATTTATGTCAATTAATGCGATATTTTCCTAAAGTTTTAGATAAACGTTCAAATCAAGGAAATTTTTTTTTCTCTTTCAATTCTTTTTGACAATAACTATACAAAAAAGAAAAAAAAATTAAAATTAAACATTTACTTAGCTGAGAATTATTTTTAATATACAAAATAATTTTTTTGAACAAAAATACAAAATAAAAGAAGCAGAAAAAATAATACTAAAATTATTGGTTCAAATAAAATTTATACGATTTCAATAAAAATGATTTGATTTAGGTAAATATTTATTTGATAGACACGCAATCGATTCTTTCAATTAAATAATTTCTTTTCAGTGTAGTCTATCATCAAATAAATTGTATTTGAACCAATAATTTCAGTACTTGCACTAAATACTATTTCATTAAAATAAGTAAAAAAAATTTCGATTCAAATAAATATTTATATTTATTAAATTAATTATAAATATAATTATTTAATAGCAGACAAGCAATCGTTTATTTGAATCAGAGAAATTGTTTTTTAACGACAGAAAAAATCAAGCCTTTCGAATTACAATTGCAAAAATTAAATTAAATCTACAAAAAATATTCCACAAGAGAGTGTAAAAAAATTTTCTCTTCTATTTTTCGTCCTATGTTTAAACTATATAACAAAATCTATATAACAATGATACATTATCATAATTATAAGTTATATAAATCATCTTTTTACAATATCTTACACAATGGAAAGTTTATGTTTTCTCATTAAATTTTCTCCCCCATTATGTAAACTTGTATATGTAAAGAAAACATTTTTCTTTACGTTTAACGATGTTTACTTAAAAATTCGATTGTAATTATTAACTTGAAGAATATGAATAATATATCGTGAAGTGTCCAAATGGTTGAAATTATATATGCGACTATTAAATGTATCTTTATATATATATTTATATGCAGTTTATGATATACGTTTATGTAAAAGGATGAAAAATGTTACATAAAATAGTTGCAATATATTGGGGACATCTCAAAAAGAAAGTTTTTCATTTCTCGAAACAATTTTTGCTTTTTTTTTGCTAATTTAATATATTCATAATATACCGGTTTCAAGTGACTTGAGTTTATAATAATTACACCTATCGTGTCAATGACTATAAAAGATTTTGACGAGAAAGCTGATTAATGTTTTCACTTTCAATAATATTGAACGATTTCACCTTTTTTTCAATGCCTCATTAATTTTTATCAAGTTCAACGTTTATTGTGGATTACTGTTTCACATTACATCTTTGCATTGCACTGAAAAAAAAAAATTTATTTGATATTTAAATATAACGGTTTATTTGTCAATTAGCAAATAAATATTTATTTATTTAAATTATTTGAATTGAATCATTTTTATTCAATTCAAATTGTGATTGAAATTTCGTATTTGAACCAATAAGTTCAGATTTTGCAGGCTTCGCTCTCATCGACTAAAAAGTAGGTTTTACGTTTTTTTTTACTATTTTTTACTATTCTTTTTTACTATTTTTACTATTTTTACTATTTTTACTATCTTTACTATTTTACTATTTTTGTACGTTTTGCTACTATTTGGATACTTTTTGTTTAGATTTGTGACATTAAAAGATACTATTTTATTCTTTTTTGAGAATTTGCACTACTTTAAATTCGCCAATAGTTGAAATAATAAAATTGTTCTAAAAAATTTTAATAAAATTCTTTGTAACAATTTAATTATTTAAAATACATTTTTTTTAAATTTTTCGAAAAATCAATTATTTAAAAGAATTTCAATAAATTTCTTCTCAAGAATTCAATTATTTTCCTAATAATAAAACTAATCACAGGATTTTAATTACTTTTAATACAATTTTAGATGAATTTCCCCAAAAATACAATTCTTAAAAATTTTATTAAAATTCATTGAAAGAATTCAATAATTATTTTAATAAAATTCTTTATAATATTTATAAGAATTCAATTTTAAGAAATATTTAATTATTTAATAAATCAGTTACATTTGAATTTAAATAATTGAATTCTCGTAGCACTTTAAAATTGCTTTAAAAATTAATTTCGGTTAAAATTTTAGTTATAATAATTAAATTTTAGAAGAGTTATAGTATGAATTTTTATAGAAATAATTAAAGTTCAAAAGATTTTTAAGTTGAAATCCTTAAAAATTTGAATTGTTGTTAAACTGTAATAATATTTAAATTTTTATTTAAAAAATAAAAATATATTATTTTTTAAAAAAATGATTAAAGTTTTGAATAATTTTATTTAAAAATTTCGACAAAAAAAATGATTGAATTACAGAAGAAGAATTAAAGTTGTAATTTTTAGAAATAGTTAAATTTCAAAAAGGTAAAAATTGAAATCACTTCAAATATTTTAATCCTTGTGGAAAAATATACAGGAATTTAAATATTTATTCAACAAAAATTATTCAAGTTTTGAATGTAATTAAAACAAATTTTACAGAAAAATTAGTCTTTTAAAAAATTGTAACGAAAGTTTTTTGAAGATAATTAAATTTTCGTAAATAATTTGAAAAGATTAAATTCTCGTAAATAATTTAATAAGATTAAATTAAATTTCCAATTATTTAGAAATTTCGTCAAATTTAATTTAAATAAATTTTAGGCATTATAAAAAATTTTATTTTTTACTTTTAAAAATTATTTTCTTAAATGTTTGAAGAATTTTAAGTTAAAAATTATACGAAAATAATTGAAGTTTGCAAAAATTTAGAATTGAAATTATTAGCAGGATAAGAAAAAGAAGTAAATATTTTTTATAAAAATTAGGAAATAAAGAATGAAATTTTTATAATTTTTGTGAATTGTCTAAAACGAGTTTTTTTATTCGACAAATTTAATTTTTCGATAAATAATTTTTTACCACTTTTTTCAGTTTTAAATTTATACTTTTTCTCATTTTCTGTGTTTCTAAAATTGATTATCGAATGCGAAGCCTGTACTTGAAGCAAATACCATTTAATGGACTCAAATAAAAATGATTTCACGCATAAATAAATATTTATGTAATAATAGACATATAATTGTTTATTTGAATTAAATAATTTTGTTTTCGCAATAATGTACTATTTTGCATTACAATTTTACATTATTTTACATTCATAAAAATTAAAAAATAAAAAGGTATTTATATTAAAATTTGCATAATTAGCAGCTATAAAAATCTACTACAATTAAAAATATTGTAGAGAAATAAAATTAAATCCTCCGTGAAGAATTCATAATACGCGACACTAATTATCGCGAGAATATATTAATTAAACGAAATATATTTTTCGCGTGTACTTTTCATAAAAGTAAATTAATTTCTCAATGGGCACAATCAATATTTTATAATCGCGGTGAAATAGAATTTTATGTTATTAATAATAAATATCTAATTTACCTTGAAGTGAAACGAGTATAAAGTAAATTAGCCTTCATTATAATTAAAACCTATACTTTATTTTATTCGAGTATGAATAAAATGGAGAGAGAAAAAAATTTCTAATTCTATTGACCAAGAACTTGAAAAAATAAATAAATATTTTTTAAAAAATAACTAAATTTCTGCAACTAAAAAGTATATATTTTTTCCAAGAGATAGAAAAATTTATTTCTTTTTTTTAAGGTATTTGCTCTAATTGTGGGAGTAGCGGTGGCACAGAATCAAAATTACCATCAGGATCAGGGGAAAAATCAGTATCGTGAAGAAAACAGAAATGAGGAAAGGCGTGTTAGCACGACACCAATTCCAATTCTTCAGTGGAACAAACAACAAGAACATGATGGAACCTATAGAACAAGGTACGAATAAAAAATGGTCATTTTTCTGGAATTTTTTTTTATTATGGGCGCAGAAATAAAAATTATTTTTGTGTAGAATTTTTTTACACTTTACTAAATATGTACTACCAAATTCAACTTACTGAATACTACGTGTATTCAATTTATTATTATGAAAATTACAAAATTTTACACTTATTTACACTTGTCTATTATCAAATAAATATTTACTTGAATCAAACAATTTTTTTTTCAATTCAATAAATTTTATTTGAACAAATAATTTCAGTATTTAGAGCACAAGGTAATTTTTTAACTTCTTTTAATTTGTATTTTTGTGTACAATAAAATTATTTTGTATATTAAAAAATTAATTCTTAGCTAAGCAAATGTTTAATTTTAATTAGTTTTCCATTTTGTATAGTATTTTTTTAAAATAATTTAAATAGAAAAAAATTCGTTCATTTGACCGTTTATGTAATTACCTAATACTTTAGGAAAATATCATTTAATCTACTTAAATAAAAAATTACTTGATGATTGAAAAGTAATAGTTTCTTTGAATCAAGTAAATCGCTTTTGCTTAAAATACAGAAATTATCGGTTGAAATAAAATTTATTTGATTTAAATAAAAATTATTTGATGCAAGCGTATAAATATTTATTTAAAAAAAGACAATTAATTAGTTTTACCTATATGAATAGAATAAAGTTTTTCTCAGTGAAAATTCATTGTCAACTGAACATTTAATTAGATAATTTAATATTTAATTTAACAAATATTTATTTCTATCAACAAATTTTTATTTATGATGTCAATTAAATGGTATTTGCTTCAAATACTGAAATTATTGGTTCAAATACAAATTATTTGGTGATAGACAACATTGAAAAAAAATTTATTTAATTAAAAGAACCCATTACATGTCTATTATCAAATAAATATTTACCTGAATCAAATCATTTTTATGAATATATGAATTGAACCATTTAATTAACTCAAATAAAAATGATTTGATTCAAGCAAATATTTAATTGATAATAGTCAAGAATTCAATTAGTTTGAAAAAATGTTAATAAAATTCTACGCAAACATATATTATTTTCATAAATAATAAAAATTTCACAGGTATTCAATTATTTACAAATTATTTTCATAATTAATAACATTTTTACAGGGATTCAATTATTTTCATAAATAACAAAACTCAATATTGAATTTCAATTATTTTTAATACAATTTTAATAGAATTCCTCGAAAAAAGTTATTATTCTTAAAAATTTTATTAAAATTTATCAAAGAAATTTATTTTTTTTAATAACCTTTGCTACAATTTATTTATTACAATTTAAGTATTATTTTTAATACTACATTTTTAATTAAATTTCTTCAAAAAATTTAATTATTTTCATAAATAATGAAATTTTTCATAACAATAAAATTTTTTTCAAAATAATTTTTATAAAATTCTTCGTAGAAATCCAATTATGTTTAAAAATTTATAAAAACTCTCGTCAAAATTTCAATTATCTTTATAAATACCTAATAAAAATTTTCTCCGAAATTCAACTATTTTCAAAACTTTTAATAAAATTCTTGGCAGAATTTCAATTATATTTTTAATACAATTTTTATCAAATTTTTTGAAAAATGCAATTATTCTTAAAAATTTTATTAAAATTTGTCAAGAGAATTCAATTACATATTTAAAAATTTGTTGATGAAATTCTTTATGAAAATTCAATTTTAAGAAACATTCAATTGTTTAATAAAATATTTATTTTTATAGTTAAATTATTGAATTCTCGCAGAATTTTCTAATAAATATTGATTTAAAAATAAATTTCAAATTAAAATCTTTGAAAATTTGAACTTTTCATACTTTTAATTATGAATTTTATAGAATTAATTTTTCTCAATATTAGTTTAATGGAATTTTTTTTAATTACTTGAAGTTTTCAATTTCTAATATATTTAATTGAAGAATGTCAGAATACTTAATCGAAATTTCGTAAAATTAAATTGTAAACAAAAGAATTTGAATATTCACAAAGAACTTTTTCAAAAATTATTTAAGAAAATTGAAGAATTTTAGTTAAAAATTCTAGAAATGAATAATCGTAATGATGAAAATAATTTTTGAAGAAGTTACAGTAACAAAGTAGCAAGTTTTAATTATTATATGTTATTGAATTTCAAATTTTTGAATATATATTAATTTCTTTAAAAAAAAAATAATGATTAAATATTTATTTAAACAAGAAGTTATGTTATCGAATAATTTTCGTTTTAAAAACCTGGAAAACCTGGAAAAGTCAAGGAATTTAAAAAGAGTTTTTGCAACCCTGTATTATTAGAAAACAATAGAAAAACATTTTTTTCTTTTTAATCGTTGATCATAAACGTCGTGAGCTTCACCAAAATAAAAAAATTTTTTCATTGAAACAATAATCGACTATTTGAATGAAATAAATTTTCTTCAGCGAAGTAATCTGAAAAATTCCTTTTTTTCCTTTTCTCATCGTTTGCGTATTTAGAAAAAAAATAGGATAATAGCGAAATAAAATATTTATTCCTATGCGAATCGCTCTCGAGGGATACATTAGAAGAAGAAAGAAGAAAAAATGTAAAAGGGCAATTTCGCCTTGTTTCTCCAAGTGTAGGAGATAAATAAAGAGGGGCGGGGGAATTAACGAGATATCGAGTGTAATTTATTGTCGGTATTATGTTATCAATCTCTTGTTGTGGTCGTCGTTTGAGATGGTAGCATTAAAATTCTAATTACTTGCTTTTCCGCCGGTATATGGAGAATAGGTGAAGGCACTCGCACAAGAGTAGAGTAAAACTGCCCATCCCATCCCCGCAACGATGTGGCAATTGCAAAGGTGCAGTCTTAAGTCGTCGTCGTCGTCGTGCCCATGAAAGCCTTGAACTATAGCCACGACGATTCACTTTTGCAAGAGTTAAGTTGAGTTGAATTAATTTTGCATTTTATTTTAGCTACGAGACCGGTAACAACATTATCGCGGAAGAGAGCGGCTACCTCAAGACGGTTGGTGAGGGTGAAGATCAAGTCGAGTCACTCGTCCAGCAAGGAAGTTATTCCTACACAAGTCCTGAGGGTCAATTGATAACAGTTCATTATACGGCTGATGAGACTGGATTCCACGCTTCTGGTGATCATATTCCAACTCCGCCGCCCGTCAGCGAGGAGATACAGAAGGGATTGGATCTTATTTTCGAGGGAATCCGCAAACAACAGGTATTTTTTTTTATTTGACAATTTTTTTCGATTTACATACAAAATTGAGGACATTTTTCTATTATTTTCCGAAAGAAAATAAATTCATTGGATTCAGATCGGATTCAATAAATTCAGATTTATTATTCTGAATTCTCAAAAAAAAACAAGATAATGCATGATTTTCTTAACGATCTAATACACAAAACTTCTCTCAATTTTGATTAAAAACATTTTCAATTCTAAATTCTGAAATAGAAATTTCTGAATTAGAAATAGGATCTTGAATTTTTATTTGTACAAATTTTTTCAAAACAAAAATCAAGAGTTTCTCTAAACGAAAATTTTTCTTTGATTTAAATACAAGTTTACTAGAATTTTCTCTATTATTTTCAAAACCAAATAAATTCGTCGAGAGGAAAAAAGGGAAACGAAAATTTAATTAGAATTCCCAAAGAAAAAAACAAAGATTTTCTATCTGATCTGATACTCTAAAACTTTTTTTTAATTTTTATTGAACTTAAATTTTATAAATTCTGAACTCTAGAAATAGGATCAAATTTACTAGAATTTTCCCTATTATTTTTCGAAAGCAAATATACTCCTTAAAAGAGAAAAAAAAACAAACATTTAATCAGAATTCTCAAAGAAAAAAAATAAATTAAAAATTAAATTTTCTATTCGATCTGACACGCCAAAACTTCTTTTAATTTCAAAATTCATAAATAAAATGCTGAATTTTTATCTGTAGAAATAAAAAACAAAACTTTTTCTTATTAGATTCTAAAAGAATATAAACTTATTGGGAGAGAAAGAAAGAAACAAAAATTTAATCACAAGAAAAACAAATCAAAAAGATTTTCTATCCGATTTGATACTGTAAAACTTCGTTTAATTCTAAAATTCGGAAACAAGATTTTCAATTTTTATTTGTATGAAATATGAACGTTTTCGAAACAAATTTTTTTCATAAAAGAATTAAGAATCTGAGCAGAATTCTCAAAAAGAAAAATATCAGATGAAGATTCTTTATTCGAAAAAATTTTTCGATTTAAATACAAGTTAATTAGAATTTTCCTATTTTTTGCCAAAAGAAAATAAATTCGTCGAGAGAGAAAAAAGAAACAAAAATTTATTAAGAATTCTCAAAAAAAAAAAAAAAAATCAAGAAGATTTTCTCAAAAAGAAAAAAATCAAAATGAAGATTCTGTATCAGAAAATTTTTTCCGTTTTAAATACAAGTTTTACCAGACAATTTTCTCTTTTTATTTTTCAAAAGTAAATAATTTATTGGGAAAGAAAAAAAGAAACAAAAATTTAATCAGAATTCTCAAAAAAAAAAAAAATTAACAAGAAGATTTTCTCCAAATTTTTTTCAATTCTAAAAATTAAAAATAAGATCTTGAATTTTTGTTTATGCAAATTTTGTCAAAATAAAAATTTTTGTTGTAAAAGAATCAAGAATCTAATCAAAATTCCCAACAGAAAAAATTAAAGTGAACATTCTCTATTCCAAAAATTTACATACAAGTTTGATAGAATTTGATCTATTATTTCCAAAACCAAATAAATTCGTCAAGAGAGAAAAAAGGAAACAAAAATTTAATAAGAATTCTCAAAAGAAAAACAAAAATTAAAAAGAAAATTTTTTATCCGTTCTGTACTTCAAAACTTTCTTTAATTCTAAAAATTAGAATTAAATTTTTTACAAATTAAAATTAGAAATAAGGTTTTAAATTTCCATTTGCACTAATGTTTTTAAAACGAAATTTTTTTCACAAAAGAATCAAAAATCTAATCAGAATTCTCAAAAAGAAAAAAAATCAAAATAAAGATTCTGTATCAGAAAATTTTTTCCGATTTAAAATATTTAAATACAAGTTTACCAGCCAATTTTCCCTTTTTATTTTTCAAAAGCAAATAATTCATTGGTAAAGAAAAAAAGAAACAAAAATTTAATCAGAATTCTCAGAAAAAAAATCTACAAGAAGATTTTCTCCAAAACTTTTTTCAATTCTAAAAATTAAAAATAAGATCTTGAATTTTTATTTATGCAAATTTTGTCAAAAAAAATTTTTTTTTTTTAAAGAATCAAGAATCTAAGCAGAATTTCCAACAGAAAAAATTAAGATGAAGATTCTCTATCCAAAAATTTACATACAAGTTTGATAGAATTTTTTCTATTATTTCCAAAACTAAGTAAATTCGTCTAGAGAGAAGAAAAGAAACTAAAATTCCAGATGAAGATTTTCTGTACGATGTTGATACTAAAAATATTCATCCAATTTTGAAATTTAAAAATAAAACTTTGAACTTTTATTTTTACAAATGTTTTCAATTGAAAAAAAATACCGATTTCAAAATGTTTTTTTTTCAAATTAAGACTGGAAAATATTCTGAACTTCATCTACTTGATGTTGAAAATACACCCGATATTATGTAAAAAAAAAGAATCTTTATTAGAATTTCTATCATTTTATTGGATATTTTAATTAGAAGCTCCATTAAATTCCCACAACCTTTCTCACATTTCATGGTCACTTTTCCTTTTTCATATATATACATTATTACGTAACATAAATGTTAATGAAAAATAAAAATTTCTTTTCCTCTATAAATTATGTTTTATATGAAAAGTGAAAAAGGTCAAGTACTGAAATATTTCACTCATCTCCAGAGTCTTTTTTCTAGATTATTTCAATCTACTAATGTAAAAATAAGACACTAAATTGTAAATTAAATTTTAAACTTAATTTGAAAGTATGTAAATTTAAAACTAAATTGGAAATAAAATTCGAAACTAAATGGAAAATTAAATTCAAATTCTAAATCAGAAACTAAATTTGAAACTAAATTGGAAATTAAATTCAAAAATCAAAACTAACAATAATTGGAAATTATATTCGAACCAAATTTAAATTAAATTCAAAACTAAATAAAATTGGAAATTAAATTTGAAACTAAATTCAAAATAATAGATTCAACTATACTATTAGTAATATTATTACGAATCTAAAACTCACAAGAAATATTTTTAAATATTTACAGGAAGCCGATGCTCGTGAAGCTGCTCAAAAATCAAACCAACCACTCAGTCAGCAGGTGGACAGACAACACGACGACAGAAAATATCGACAATAATGATTTAAAAATAAATACCAAATTGCAAATCTTAGTTTAAGTTTAGATCATAAAAAAAGAAACATATTCTTGTAAACACCAATCATCGAAATACTCATAATTTAAAGACAAAAAAAAAAAAAAAAAACGAAAAGCATTGTTTAAAGATTCATTTTCTTTCTGTCGTAATATCACCTCTTTGTATCTCTTACTTTAATATTAATATAATTATTGTATTTTAGTATTATTATTATTATTACTATTATTATTATATTATTATTATAATTTTTTTATTCTCTGTAAAGACTAAGATGCGAAATGCACCCTTCGATCTGTGCCAATCCGACCATTATTCATCATATCAACAGTAAAGTGAGAAAATTCGTTAAACCATTGGTTTTTATTTTACTACTTCACCACCAACTTTCAAAATAAAATATTTAAATAAAATAATGTTAAAATAAATATTTTAAATAATAAATATTAATTTTAAATATTTTGAAACACATTTTTCTGATTATACAATTATATTCAGAAAAAGTGTTTCAATATTAATATATTCAATATAAAAAATGTTTCATTATAATTATAAACTGAAACTGAAACTATAAAATCAAAAAATGAATTTACAATAAATTTTAAGATATTTTCATTTCGCTTTATTGACGCACAAATTAACGGTACATTTTCGTGCTTATTTTAAAGATTTTTTAAGGACTTTCTTTAAATTCAAAAAATCCCTTCGTTTTACGGAAATATTTTCTCACTATTGCAGTATTCAAATATATTTTAAATCGGACATATTAAATAAAAAAAAAATTGATACAACATTATTTCGAGGTATCGGACTACTACAAGCTAGAAAACTTCTCGCATGATTAAATTCTAATTTCTCTTTTTAAACTATTCGATAAAGCAAAGGAGAGATCAATCAACTGCTCTTATCGCTTTTTATAAATATTGTTAGAAAATTAAATAATTTCGTTCAATTAATAAATTGGAAATTACAATTATTACTTTTTTTTATTATTATTAATCATTAATCATATACACAAAATTATTTTAGATTTTGTAAACGATTTTTCTAAATTTGAATTAGTAACAAGTCCACTAATCTAAGTTTGTTAAATTTTCTACTAATTTTTAGTAAATTACTCCGTCATTTAGTAATTTCAAAATTTTTAGGGAAAAATTACTAAGAGTTAGTAGAAATTTATACAAAATTCTAATTAGCAGAGACTTTTCTCTAATTCAAACTTAGAGAGAATAATTATAAAAAAATATTATAAAAGTGATAATAAAAAAATTTAATTTTCTCAATTTAATATTCAGAAGATGTTTGACTCTTTTTTCTCATAAAAGAAAAATAGCGATTGAGAAAATGTTAATTTAAAATTATAAAAGATTATTCAAACTTATAGTTTAGAAGCGTTTTGACCTTTTAATATTGCAAACATTAATTGGGACATAAATACAACACTGACTGCATTGAAATTCAGTTTGTTGGAAATTCTTTAAGGTTTCAATTCTTATGTATACCTTAATCAAGATAAATTTATGTTTTCATAAAATTATTTATATATTTATAGAAAAAAAGACCTTTGTGAATACGAGTCATGAACTTTCTTAGAAAGTAAAAAAAAAATGACGCAAACACAATAAAGAACATTTGCACAAAAATTACAGTGTAATATTGAAATTTTACTTTGGAACGTTTAGAAGAAAATTAAGTCATAAAATGAAAACGGATCTGATATAAATCGTAAAATATAGGAAAACGATTTTAAATATCTTTTATCTAACAAACTCCATTATTCTTGATTTTTAAAATTACTCTCGAATTTTAAATCAATAAAACTTGCAAATTTCTTTTAAGTTTAGAAAGATTTTTGCATACATTCAAAATTCAAAAGCACTCTCGATTTTTAAATCAGTATTTCCAAATTTCTTTTAAGTTCAGAAAGAATTTTGCGAAGATTCAAAATTCAAGAGTTGAATATTCGCAAATTTATAGATTAACCGAAATTTAAAATTCTAAATTATTCGAAAATGTATTTGATAAAAATATTATTTACAGAAAGATAGGTAATGTGACTGTATTTATACCAAATATTGGGAATAAGTTCAAGAAATAAAAAAAAAATTAAAAATTAAAAAAATTAAACTAATAAACGTAAAATTGAAGCGCAAGATAATTGCTACAAATATCTACTATAATTATAGTAGTCAATTTGTTATTCTTAATTCTAAAGCGTCTAGTGTTCTAAGCTATAAAAAATATATAATTTACCGGAAATTGCAAGTTTCCGATTTTAGTTCAATTTTAATATTTAAATTATGAAGCGTATTAAAAGTCCATTTTTCTAATCGGCTCAATGAAGACTGATTAGAAAATAATCAAAAATTATTAAAAAATAATCAATTATTTTTAAAAATTATTATTTTTAAAAAATAATTTATTTTATTACTATTAAAATTATTTTTAAAAATTATTATTTTCTAACAAAACTTCAAAAATCGATTTGAAAAATCGAAAGCACCCAAGTCGTATGTTTCACACGAAATCATTTACGCAGAACAATAAAAGAAGTTCAAACAAAGTTCAACAATTATTTGAAAAGATTTATTTTCATTAAATCTTAATTCCTTCAATAATAAAAAATTTCTCATTGCATTCAAATAAATAAATAAATAAAATTATCGTGTTCTTTTTAATTTATCAATTATTTAAAGGAATATATTTGTAGTCAAAAAATATTTCGTCAATTTTGTTTGAACTCTTCAGATATTTTGAACTCTAAGCACTTATACATTATACAATATTTCAATTCACACTCACACACGCATATTTTTATTGTCTAACGAAAAACTTAATTAAAATATTATAAGTGGATGAAATTCATCGACTGGCACGTCGAGTTTAAGTATATTGTATATATAAATATTCACTATATAGTTTAAATTAACAAGCGTTTTTTGCGTTAAAAATTAATATTGTATAATTATTAATAATTATCAGAATAATTTATAATAATTATTTATGAATAATAATTATAAATTATAATAATTATTAATTAATAACAATTACGAATTAATAATAATTACGAATTAATAATTATTATTATAAATTAATGATTTTCATCAACTAATAATTATTATAAATTTATAATTATCATTAATTAATAATTATTGTAAATTTATAATTATCATAATAATTATTCTGAATTAAAATAATTGTGAATTAATAATAATTATAAATTAATAATTATTGTTACGTACAATAATTTTAAACCATAATGTATTATTAGTTAAATAATAGTCAAATTTCAGACTTGACTTTCATTACTTTAAGACGATAAATAACTAACAAAGGGAAATTAAATACTTTTAATGTAAAAAACGCTCGTTCCTTTATCTCAGAGCTGCTTAAACAAAGTTAAAGTCCACAACGTTGATCAACGAAAAAAATTTATTTAATGCAATTAAGTATTATTTTTAATTTAATATTTAATTGTAAAATAATTATTATCAAAACATAAACATCAATCTTTTTTTTCTAAATATTTTTGTGTCAATATTGCTGAGTAATTTTTAATTAATTTACTTAGTGAACAATTTTTTTTTCGTTGATCAACGTTGTGAACTTCAACTTAGTCTACTTAATTAGGTTTCAAGTGTCCCTAAGGAACTAGTTGTCATTTTGTCAGATGATTCTAAACAATCGAGAATCTTTTTTTTAAATTTTAGAGTCCACTGTCTTAGTAGATTTTTACTAGTCCTGACAAAATTACATTTTATGAAATCACTCACAGAAAAAATGGCGTTGGCAATATAATTGCCAGAAGAACGTAAATTCCAATTGCAGAAATATGCCGAGAACTTTTAATATTTACTTTTTTTAATTAAATTTTTCATTTGTAACTACAAATGAAAAATTTAATTTAATTTAAACAAAAGTGAAAAAATAGGAAAAAATTAAATAAAAAATACAAAAAGTATAGAAAAAACAAAAAAAAAAAAAGTAGAAAAATTCTCGTCTCATCTCTAGATGGAATTTAGTCTTAAAATAAAATTCGGTCGTTGAATTATTATCAATGTGAACCAGTGGAAACTGGATCGTATGGTTTTGAATTGAAACCAACGTATCTATTGTTTTTCTTGTGAACAAAACCATTTTGAGGATCGGCTTTATAATAAACTACCCTTCTGATACCAAATGGATCGACATATCCAAAGGATCCTACTGTTTTATCATTTGGCTTTTGTTCTTCTTCGTGATAATGTGTTTTGAGGTAATATTGAAATCCATCAGCTGTCTGATGATGACCATCGTATGCAGGATATTCTTGATATCTCACTGATCCACGCCTAGAAATTTAAAAAAAATTTATTATATAAAATTTTAATGAGAACACTTCTGATAAAAATGAAAAAGTTTCTTAAAAATTGTATTAAAATTTTCTATGGGGTGCATGAATATTCCAATAAAAATACCTTCTCATTTTCATTTGTCCAATAATATTTGTTCGGAGAATTGAAAATTCTGTCAATCCATATTTTATCAATTAGAGTTCTAACAAATAATAATTTTTGCAAATAAAAAATTCTGTAAATAAAAATTCGAACAAATAAAAATCTGACGAACTGGAAATTTGATACAGTCATCTCTCGATAATTAAACTTCCCATAAATTGAAATTGATTTTTTTTCTGATACCAAAAACATTCGATAATTAAAAACTTCGCTAATTAAAATTTTTTCTACGTCCCTTGAGATTCAATTTATCGATAGTCGACTATACTCACTAATAATTTGCTATTTGTTAAAACCGATTTTTCTTTTACTTATTTTGTAACAAAAATATATCAGTTTTGAAGGCACATAAATAATTCAAATTATCAAAGTTTCATTTTTTGAATGTTTTTAGTACTTATCAAAATTCGTTTAAATTATCTTCAGGAATAATTAGTTTTTTTTTTAATAGGTAAAAAGATCAATTATTTTCCAAAAATAGGTAACAAGAAGGCGACAAAAAATTGTGAAGAAGAAAATTAATTCATTTGTTTTTAAATAATATTGGAATATTTTATCAATAGTTAAAACTTGAATACTGTTGACTCTCGATAAATTAAATCTCAAGGGACATAAAAAATTCAAATTATTGAAGGCTTTATTAATCAATAATGTTTTTAGTATAAAAATTTTGTTTAAGAATTCAAAATCAATTTCATTTTATAAAGGAATTGAATTTATGTGAAGTTCAATTATCAAGAGATAACTGTAGTTCAAAATTTAGATAATTTAACAATAAAATTTTATTATATTATTGTATTCAAAGTTGAATAATTTACATTTTGAATAGAATGAACTTTGCACAAATTGAATTTTGGTTTAATTAAAGTGAAAATTAAATCAGAATTTTACTATGAATTTAAATTTTGATCGATTACAATTTTAATCAAGAAATACTACAAGAAATTTAAGTCAAAATTCATTGAAACTTGGATGAATTGAATCATTTAAAATAAACAAAAAGAAATAAAAATCTATAATTTTGTGATTGCTAAGTTCATTTAAGTTCAGAAATGATAAAAAAATTCCATTTAAAGCTAATAAATTATTTTTTCAATTTTTACCTTTCTTATGTATATTTAACATTGAAAAATTCAATTCCTTTAGAACTAAATTGGATTCAAGGGGAGAGTGCACAGATATTTTTAATTATATCAAGAAAATAATTTAAATATTCCAAAAATTGTTTTTATAATAATAATTGAGTAGAGTTTTTTATAGTAATTTTTTGTGAGGAATTTAATGGTCAAAAAACTAAAATAAGTCAGAAAATAATTTGATCCTTTTTGAATTTTTAGTTTCCTTAAAAATTAATAGATTTTGAAATCCATTAGTAATTTTGTAGAAAATATGTTTTTCAATCCAGAAAAAAATTTCCAAACGAAAAATAGATTTTTACAATTTTTGAAGCATTTTAAAAAAATTTTGCTTTTTACGCTGAAAATGCTAAAAAATACCATTATATTAGGTATTCAATTTTTTTATTTGAAAATTCATTTCTTTATTTTTCTAACTAACTTCAGTATAAAATATTTAAAAAATGACGATAAGAATATTAAATTAATTATCTGATTAAAAATTAGTTAGAAAAATAAACAAATGAATTTTCAAATAAAAAAATTAAATAATAATAATGGAATTTTTTTAGCATTTTCAGTGTAAAATCAAAGTTTTTTTTTTAAATGCTTAAAAAATTGTAAAAATCAATTTTTTCATTTGACAAATTTTGTTGTGGATTCAAAAAATTTTCTACAAAATTACGCATGGATTTTATAAAATCTTCAAAAAACCGAATTTCTTAAAATTCAACATTTTCATTTTTTCTTCTTTTTAATGGCACGTAGCTTCATTATTTTTGGGCTCTTCAAAAACACTTTACTTATTTAATTGTTTCCACCCTTTGGTAAAAAATTTAAAATTATCGAAAATTATCAAAAATTCAAAAAACCGAATTTCTTAAAATTCAACATTTTTTCTTCTTTTTTATGACATTTAGCTTTAATATTTTTGGGCTCTTCAAAAACACTTTACTTATTTAATAGTCTCCACTCTTTGGTAAAAAATCTAAAATTATCAAAAAATCGAAAAAATTCAAAAAACCGAATTTCTTAAAATTCAACATTTTTTCTTCTTTTTTATGACATTTAGCTTCATTATTTTTGTGCTCTTAAAAAACACTTTACTTATTTAATAGTCTCCACTCTTTGTTAAAAAATTTAAAATTATTTAATTTTTTCAAAAATTTGTAAAACCGAATTTCTTAAAATTCAACATTTTTTTTTCTTTTTTATGGCATTAGCGTCATTATTTTTGGGCTCTTTAAAAACACTTTACTTATTTAAGCAGTGTGTCTAACAAGGACTGAGAAAATAATTCCCTCTGACTTTTTACTAATTTTATGTTTGCTTTTTTGGGACAAAAAAATAGTAACTGACATATTTAACAATAAAATAAGTTACAAAATTTTAGGTAAAAGGTTTTTGGTAAAAAAAGGTGAATAGGTATAGCAAACTATATGATTCCTGCAACTCCAATTTATCGAAAGTTTAATTATCGAGAGATGACTAATAATCTTTATGGAATCCCCTCTTCATTGAAAATAATAAATTGTGGTATATAAAATGAATGCCTAAAATAAAGACAATTGAATCAAACCTGGCAATTTCTGGTCGATACCTAGAGTATCGTTTGCTATTGACAGTGTTATTCGCCAGCCTGTAACCCCTAAAACCAGTAGGTGCCACTCTCACATGGCTCGCGGCCTGCAACTGATCATCATTAAAATTTGGCGATTCAACAATCACAGCAGGTTGCGGTACTCGATACGAATACGATCTTTCATAGGGATTGATGAATGGATTCTGAATTTGATGTCCAGTTGAGAGGTAGTTTGAATTAGCATTAAATCCATCATCGTAGGGCGACGGTGTCGTGAAGGGATAAACTTTTGGTCTGAATGTCGTTGGCACTGGATGATCGTATTGCAAAACGGAGACTGCCGGCGACAATGTCGATGGAGAATAACTCCTTAATGGTGAAACAGTATTCACCTCGATGCTGTTGCCAGACACGTCCTTTATTTCTGGTTGCCTGTGGAAAATAAAACACCCACGATTTAAAGGATAATAAAATAAACGAAGCAGCACAAGTGCGTAATTGCGTGTGTTGCTTGGGGTTAAAATATATGCATGTGACCTTCGTCAACCTAATATAAAGATTAACGTAAAAAGCCTAAGAAATTTGTAGTGATTATCGATAAATTACAGGTATAGGGTGGTCCGGATGTCGCTTATAGTGCTTTAAACAGGTATCTACACAAGAGTTGTAAAATGCGAAAATAGAGGGAAAAAACATTTTTATTTATAATGGGGGACTGGATAATGTTGCCAATGAGGTAAAAGAGCTTATGGTCATTCGCGGGATATAAGACATTTACGAACAGTCAAGGTAGACTTTCCAAATGGATATAATATATTAAATTAATAGATAAACTTAGATTATAGAAATAAATAAACAAAAAAAAGTGGTATACAAACTGGATATGCACCTGTTATTTAACAGTTCACTTGGAATCAGTTTCACACCTATTTTTATATCATTGAAAACAGTTTCACTCTTGATAGCAATTAGTAGATAAAGAAGCCGTAACTTTTAAGGACAGGAAACAATTTTTTCATTACTTAAAAGTTTGTGAAAATTTTTTCCCTTACTTTACTTAGTGTTATAAAAAAAAGAATTTTATAGTTTCCTGATGACCTTCAACAGACTTAAATTAAATTCTTAAAAACTTGAAAAATTATAATAAACAAATATTTAGGAACTTGTTAATTATTTTTCTACTGGAATTAAAATTTTTTGAATTTCAATTTTAAATCAAATTCAATTATATTCTGAAATCTTTAATGAAAGTTTTTCTAAATTAATTATTTTTTAATAATCTTTAAAAAGTTTCTCGAGAATTCAATTATTTAAATAGAAAAATTCAATTTTTTATAATAATTGACTGTAAGTCTTTGTTTTTTTTCCTATTAAAGTAAATTCTTTAAAAAATTTCAATTATTTTAGAAAAAATTTACTAAATTTTAATTATATAGAAATTTTTAATTATATACAATTAAAAAATCAATTGTCTTTGAAAAATTATTTGAATATTCTTTTAAAAAACTTATTTTAAAAATCCTCTATTATAAGTTTGTAAAAATCAATTATTTTCAATATTAATAACCAAAAATATAAAAATTATAAATATAATTATAAATATAAAAAGACATGATTTCTCAAAAATTTTAAGGATAAGTTGTGACAAAGTGATTCGTTACTGGCACGTAAATTTATTTCTAAACAATTAAAATTTTTTGAAAAATTTAATTTTTAATTCTCTGAAATAGTTGAATTTTTGAAAAATTTTAAAATTACAACTTTGTTATACCCACTTCAAAGTTTGAATAATTATTCTTTTAAAAACTCATTTTAAAAATTTTCTATTATAAGTTTGTAAAAATCCATTTTATATTCAATTTTTAAAAGACAATTGATATTTTACTTATATATAATTTAAAAATTTCCATATAATTGAAATTTAGTAAATTTTTTCTAAAATAATTGAAATTTTTTGAAATTTTTGAAAGAATTTTTAGAAAATGTTAAAAAATAATCAAGTTTTTGTTGATGAATTTTAATTATAAATTTAAAAAGACATGATTTTTAAAAAATTTTAATAATAAGATAAACAATTAGATTTTTTGAAAAATAAAATTTTTAATTTTCTGAAAATAATTGAATTTTTGAAAAATGTTAAAATTACAACTTTGCTGCGCCAACTTAAAAGTTTAATTATTTTCCAAAACTTTTAACAAAACTTCTTTTGTAAATCAATTATTTTTAATAATTTTCCGAAAATTTTTAGAGAATTCAATTATTTAAACAGGAAAATTCAATTTTTTATAATGATTACATAAATGTAACACTTTTTATAATTCTTTTAAAAAATACTTTTTACGATGAATTACTGAAAATATGTAACCAAAAGAGTGCAGAATTGAAAAAGTTTCAAATAGTTGAAGTTTAATAAAATAAAATTATAATAAAAATTTCTATGAATCAGTTTTTTTTAAATATTGTAGTATGACTCTGAGAAAATAATTATTTCTTAAAATATTTTTGAACATTTGAAAAAAAACTATAATCAATATTTTGAATAAGAATTTTTTATTACAAATTTAGAAAATTTTCTGAAAAATCGACAAAACTTCTCAAAAATCTGAATATTAAATCTAAAAAATTAGAGTTTTCAAAAAATCGTAATATTTTTATTGTTTGTTATTAACATTTAAATTTTCGGAAACATGCTGTTAAAACTAAATAAAAATAATTGAATTTTAAAAGATTATTTAATGGATAAGATTCTAAGAATTACTTTTATAAAAAATATTTTAACATAATTTTTTCAAGATAATTTTTAGTAATTTTCACTTGAAGATTTTTTATTAAAATTTTTGAGAATTCACTTATTTTCAGAATTTGTTATTAAAATTCTTTGAAATTTAGTTTTAAAAAATTTGAATGAACTATTTGAAACAAAATCAATTATTTTCAATAAAATTTTTCAGATCAATTTCAATTATTTACAAACTTTTGAATTAAATATAAGTCGAAAATTTAATTATCATAAAAAAATTATTCAAAAGTAATTTTTTTTAAATTTGACTATAGTTATACTTTTTTCTCTACATATTAAAATCGAAATAAGTTGCATTTTATACCAAAAAAGTGGTTTTTTGTTGCTATATTTGAGTATAATTATTTTTCGCACTACAAAAATCGCAATAAATTCTATTTTATAACAAAAAGGGATATTTTGTTGTTTTTTTGGGACGAAAAGTCGAAAAAGTTTTCTTTTTTTTAAAAAATAGTATAAAGGGTGTTAAAAATGTCTGCAGTCTCACTGAGAGAATTTTTTTTTTTTAATCCAAAAATATGTCGTCAACCAAAAAAATATGTTTGTATTAAATATATTTTAGAACATCAAAGTTATAAAATTCAAAGTAATTCAAAGTAATTTTTATTCAATCAAACTTATTATTTATTGAATCAAAATTAATATGTTCAATTCAAAAATAATTTTTGGTTGACTGTATAACAAAAATAATTATGTTTGATTCAAATATGCAATTATTTACCAAAAATTCAACAAATAAAAAAAAATTACCTGAAAGGATTAGGCGGCCTTCTCGGCCTCACCAAAATTCCACTCTGAGGAGGCACTTTTTTCGAAATTGAAACCGCATCCTGTATCGGTCGTTCTTTGCCAACAAACACCATTTTCGATCTACAAAAAGAGAAGAAAAAAACATGAAATATAATTAATGAAAGAAAATAACATCTTCTGCCTCCTTTGATATACGTTAATGAGAGTTTTTATAATTATCTCTCCCATATAATGTTAAAATTGCATGTGAATTGAAAGAAGAAAAAAATGTGTGCTTTAACTAATTTCTTACCGTGACAAATATAATCACATCTTTATAATTAATTTATATGACAAATAGAGATGATAGTAATTTAAGATGGAAATTAATAGGACAGGAAATCCTGTAATCAACAAAACTTCTTGATGTGTCGGAAGCTGAAAAGAAGGATCCGAACAAATTGCAGTGTTGAGTGTAACGAATTGCAGTGTCGATTAATATCAGGACACGAGGTCATTGCGAAATCACGGCAAAGATCATTCGCTATCCTGTGTATTTATATTTATACAGTACAATAAACGTATGCGGTTACAAAATACCAATGGTATTATTGTTAGGTTGGGTTCTCAGGAGGATTTATGTTTGACACTGTTTCCTTACTCTGTCCTTCATTGGGTTTTCTCTTCTTTTCATCGAATTCACAGAAAAATTTAAACAAATATTTTTAAAAATAGAAAATTTTTTGTTTAAAGGTATTTTTTCCATACAGCAAGTAATCTTGCAGCAATTTGGGTTTCCTCTAAAACTTTTGATCGAATAAATTATTAATTAAATCGAATTAAAAAAATTAAAAATTAAATTCGATTCAAAATGTTAATTCTGTGCCTAGAATTTTTGTTCTGTAAAAAATGCTAAACATACTTAAGGATTCGGAATCCTTGTTGATCGGCGATGTAATCTTTGATTCGCAAATAACCTAAAGGATCGAGCCATCCCTCTGTACCGATAACAGTACCGTCAGCTAATCTCTTCTCCTTCCGGTACTGTCCATTCAGAGTTTGGAACCGGAAAAATCTCTCGGGACCTTCGTCCGTTTGAATGTGATATTGCGTGTTTGGAGTTAAATTCCATCCGCTCCTTTCAGCTTCGATTTCGTCTGCAGTCAAGCAGTAAACCGAAACCTACAAAAAAGGAATAATTCTTGTTAAATAGGTAAATAAATATTTAGACAATTAATGCGAAATTAATTTATACCCGCAGGAAAAAAAAGAAAAGAAATGAAAACTTACTAATGGGAAATTAATTATATAGGTACTATTCCTTCCGGAATAATTTATTATTATTGATATTTCATTGTTCAATAAAGCACTTTCATCAATTCACTTTAGTTCTTTACAAAGAACGTCAACCTTTCTTGTTAAAACATTGAATAAAAGAAAAATATTTTATTATTTTCGTTGGGGTTAAAAATAGTTCTTTTTGCTAATGCAGAAGAAAAGCTTTACCTAGAACAGCTAAAAAAATATTAGAGAAAATTTTAGTTGATTCTGTTAAGATTTTTTCGATCCTAGAAAAACTTATTGCTGTTCTAGATGAAACCTTTTATCCGTAAAAAGATACAAACATATACAAAATAGCAAATACAAAAATGCAAATATAAAAATACAAATACAAAAATGCAAATATAAAAATGCAAATTCAAAAATACGAACACAAAAAAAAACAAATACAAAAACAAAAATACAAATAGAAAAATACACATATCCAAAAATACAAATACAAATACAAATACAAAAATACAAATACAAATTACTACACTTTCAGATAAAAATTAGTTTAAGCAAATTTTTCTTTACACGATAAAACATAAAAAGAAATTTAAAAAATAATATAAAGTTTCATAAAGAAACTAAACTATTGCTGATTGTTTAATAAACCAAGGTTTATCTAAAAATATTAAGTCTAAAAAATAATTTCAGAGTGACAAAGTAAAAAATATAGAATAGATAATATTACACTCTTTGATCCCTAGATTCAAAAACAGTCTGATCACTATAAAAATATCTTAGGAGAAATATGTAAACAAGAGATAATTTTGTAAATTCTCGTATAATGCATACATACGTCAATTTAAAATTAATTTTTCCGAGCAATCTATAATGCAAAAAAGTTCGGTGAAACAAGATTTCTCGAAAGAATTGTTACGCAAACAGAGTAGAATTTTGTGGGCTCGGTTAAGGTGAGGCCACACAATTAGTGTCATCATTAAACCATTTTGCGTTCTAGTAAAGCGCGTCATCCACTTAATTTTTTATTCCCTTTTTCATTGCTTCAAATAAAAGTAAACTATATAGATTTAAATTTGCATATTTACCATGCGTAAAATTATAATTTACATAATTATTTATACTAATAAATTTAAAAATATTTATTGTGTATAATTGAATTTTCTAAAAAAAGGAATAAAAGTGGAAAAATTGGTTTAACTCCACAAAAATATCTTTTTTGGAGTCAATAAAAAATTTAATTAAAATTATAATAATAGTAAAACAAATAATAATAATAATAATGATAATTTTTTTTTGTTAAGGGTTTCGGTAAAAAATACAGAAATAATAATAATAATAATAATAATAATAATAATAATAATAATAATAATAATAATAATAATAATAATAATAAAAACAAGACAATACATTTCAACAACTTTTTTTTACATAAATAGGAAACTTTTTAAAATTTTGACTTCCAATTAAATTTTTATAATTTCCAGAAGTTTTATAAAGAATTTATCGCATTTTCAAGATAAGTTTAAAATTTTTTTTTAAATCTTTTAAAAGCCTACAAAAATTTAAATCATTCTAAAAATAATTAGATGCATAAAAAAAATTGTATGTAATATATTCATTTCTGAATACATTGCTTCAATTGTTAAAATTACATCGCAAAATTCAATTGTTTTCAAAATTTCCAATTAAAATGAAACTAAATTAAAAATTTAATAAAAAACTTAATTTAATATGAAATTAAAATCAAATTCTTTAAAAGAATGAATTATTATCAATATTACTTTATGAAATTTCAATTGTATCAAAAAATGTTTCAATTAATTATTTTCAAATATTAAATTATCTGAAGGAAGTAGAATTAAAATTTAAGAAAAACAAAATTTTTTCAATTTCAAAATTTAAATTTTCAGAATTTCAAAGGACCACGCACAAAATACATACAAATTGGATCCCAGTCAATTTTTTTTTTTATTTTTCAATTGGAAATCTTTTTCCTGACACAAAAAACAACTTTTCTAAGCAGTTTTAAAAAAATCGACTAGGATCCAATTTATAGTATTTTGTGTGTGGTCCTTTCGCGATTATTTAAAAAGATTTTAATTCTAAATCTATTTGAAATTTAACTAAAAATTGTACAATCAACTCCGTTGTAAAATTCAATGATTTGAACACTGAAAAAATATTATTTGATTCAAGTAACCGATTACTTGTCTATTATCAAATAAATATTTATTTAAAATTGAAATGAAATATAATTTTTATTTAAGTATTTTATTATTTAAGTCAATTAAATTGTATTTTTAACTAATAATTTCAGTATCTGAAGCAAATTGCATTTAATTGATTGCAATAAAAATTATTTGATTCAAACAAATATTTATTTCGTAATCGATAAGTAATTGGTTATTTGACTCAAATAAATTTTTTTTCAGTAAATAATTCAAATGAATTAAAATTTAATTAGTACTAAAAATAGAAAAGAAAATCGAGGTTTCTTTTTGAAGTTATGAAAATTATTGCAATTTTAAAGTTATTAAGGTGATAAAAATAATTCAAGAAGAATATTGATGGTTTTCAAGAATTTTTAAACAACAAACACCAGAATTTTCGTACGAAAATGTAGAGAAATTTGGTATTTTTTTTCCTTGCTCAGACATTTCCCTGACCGTTTTCACTCTCACTGACTTTTTCCCTGATTTCCCTGACCTGCAAGTCAACCCTGTTTACATGCTTCAGCTAAAAATTCATCGACATTGAACCAAATAACTACTATCGAACAAAAAAATTTGAAATTCACAATTTCATTTTCTATACTCAGAAGAAATTTTCCAACCATATACAAAACGATTTGAATAATTTAAAAAAATAATAACTAGGTAATAAGAAAGCCATCACGCTTCTCTGAATCTCAATATATATTCACATTGTTTCCTATTTCGCAAAAACATCGAATCAAGACCCGCGCACCTGTTATTAAAATTTCAAATCTTCCCAAAAAAAAGAATCAATTTTACATAACGTCTATAATACGAAATAATCGGCGAAAATCTTGTCGATTAATATTCAGCATTTATAATGTTGTATATATATACATACATACATTCAATCTTTGCAATTGAGTCGAAACGGGAGCTAACGGCGCAAAACGTGGGCGCTCTCACGGTAATCTGGTAATGTGGGCGAAATCAACCTCGAAATTATTTCTTCTGTCATCGAGGACAGCCATGAAAATTCTCATGGGTCAATGACGAAAAAATAAATGAACCATACCAAATAATTGATTAAATTAGCCACGCGCGAGATAAAAACGAATTACACCAAAATATATTTATTGTTCATTATTTTAATCCGACACATGTGTTGACATTAACTTATAAATAAAATAACATCAATAATTATCCATATTTCATTGAAGACAAAAAATTTAGTTGCTTCAAATATAAATTGACTCCAAGTTAAAAAATCAATCAAATAAATATACTGTTACTTAATAACCCTGTCGAAAAAGTTTTACATTTTTACATTTTTTAGCAATTTTTTTATAATTAAAAATACTTTATTTTAATATTAATTATTAATTAATTAATTAACTATATTAATCATCGTATTCTTTCATATCATCCTGTCTGCAAAAATATTCAATTTTCGTAAGGAAATAATTTACATAATTTCTATTTCTTAATTTAATATTATTTTGATTTTAATATATCATTAGGAAATTAATTAGTATCCACAAAAAAATAATTGTGTAAATTTCAATAATATTTCGGTACTAGAATTCAAGTAGAAATTCTATTGAATTGTTTCAGAGAAATTCTGCATATAGTGCACACTATAAATTCTACGTAGAATCATGCTAAAAAAAATTCTACAAAATTTTTTTGATAAACACAATGAATGATTTGTGAATCAAATAAATTTTCCCAAGAGAAAGAAAAAAAATCTTAATTCGATTTTAACGATCCTTCATTTCAAACAATATGCATTATATTTTGCAAAATAATAGATTACTCAAGCACACAGGTTTCTCTTTTCTTTTTGCGTACCTGTGTTCATTCAGACAGAAATCATTCAATAAAAATTACGAACTTCTTAATTATGATGTATATACTATCAAGATATTGAATTAAATCTTGATAGGGAATCAGAAAATGATTTATAGATCACGAAGAGAACCCTTTTGTCATTACAATGACTTTATTAACGACAGGACAGAGTTCATTGCAACTCTATATGTATACCGATAATTATGTGCAATGAGATTGAGGTATTAGGGGAATTTTTATTTTTTTTACATTTGAAACTCGATTTATCAGTTCCGTTCCGCGTGATTTCACATATATATCCCGCTGTATTAGTCAGTCAATTTAATTCCAGACGGAAATATAAACAATTGCTTTCATTTCTAGCATTCGTTGAATTTTTAATACTCAAATTTTTGCAAAAATATTTTTAATATTTCCTGTTCGATAATTAATTGCTGTGCATATATAATTTTATCAATTTCTGTGGGAACTTAAATAGATATTTTTTTTTTGGGAGAAAAGCATTTGTTCTTTTGCTTATTGCTTCCTTATAAAAGCATTGTTTTCTTTCTTTCTTTTTTATTTATTTATTATTTTATTTATTTTTTTATTCATTTTATTTATTTCTTTTTATTTATTTATTTATATTTATTTACTTTTTTTGTTGTTTAGGAATAACGAAAATAATAAAGTTATTCCAGAAGGGAGTAAAAGTTTATCAAACTATATCCGTTACAGAAAATAAAAAATTGTTAACAAGTTCTTTCTTCAATAGAAATTAGAAAGTTCAAGTACAATAGTTAAACAGATTTTGACAGTCTGTCTTTCATTACTCACTTTCATAATTTCTTCCTAAGTTGTTTTTCT